TTTCTGGCCATTTCCCTGACCTTCACGCCTCCCGGCGGTTGCCCTATATGGTAACGGCAACTGCCTTCGCGCTGCGTTTGCTAAGCAATATCGCAAGCGCGCAGAGCGCGCGCGCCGGCTTCGTGGGCCGGCGCGCGCTCTGCGCGCGCGCGCGCACGCATTTGGTTACCAGATCATCCTCCTCCTCCTCCTCCATGCCCTTTTCCGTCAACAGCAGCGCCCGGTCGGTGTCGACTTTGCTCAGCAGAATCCAGGCGAAGGCGACAAACGTGAAGCTGGTCAGCGCGAGCGCCTGGTGCCCGAGGACGGAAAACTCGGGCGTCCACTTTACCCCGTTAAAATCCGCGATTCCTCCGGCCGCCCCATGAGGACCTCCTCCTGCCCCACTCGGCATTTGCCCGGCGAACTGCGCGAGCTCCAGCAAATTGCTTGTTCCTGAAGTAGAACTACTACTACCTGACGCACTGGTGCTCGTTGAAGATGCAGTCGAGCTAGTAGAAGTACTGCCGGACGAACTACTGTGAAGTAGATCCTTGTTCAACAACCTAGCTCCACCTGAAACATTCGCCGGCAGTTGGAAGAACCGGAGCAAGACGCCAAGGAAGACCGATCCCACGACGAAACCGTACGTCGGACTCGGGGTGAAGATTCCCATGGCCGTGCCGTTCCCCACGTTTGCCGGCACCATATCCTGTGCAAAAGTATCGCACTCCCTCGTACTAATTGCAAGTATGCATGACAAATCTCCTTCCTAAGGTGAAACAGCATCACAAATTCAATTTTTCTTCTTGCCAAAATTTGTGATGCAATTCATACTAGTACGATGCCTTTGCGATGCATACACCAGCTTGAGCGCCAACGCCATGTCGCCAATGGAAAACATGGCTTGGGCCGCACCGTACAGCAGGGCAATCACGTAGAAGATATGGATGGCGACCCAGGGAAGCTGCTGTTTAGCAGAAGTACTGTTATTTTCCGACGTCGACGCTCCTGCACCAGGACCGGTTTCCGTCGTTCCATCGGCGGCAGTGGTTGTCGTACTTGTCTTGTGCGCATAGTACTCCGCTTCTACGGGATGAACCGCGCCCCCTCCCGGGACGTTGTAGTTGTCGAAAAAGGGCAACGCCACCAACCCGCCGTAAACGTCGTATGCGGTGCAAATAAGGATCCTCGCATTTGTACAAAAGCCAAAGTAGAACACACAGTTGCAGGCATGTCAGAGTAGCAAATCTCTTGCGCCGACCTCGAGAGGGAGAGGGCCATAACCTTCCTTAACTTTATGCTTGCAGGACTTCTATGGCTATGCACATGATGTGCATGTGGCTTGTTTTCTTCATGAAAAAAGATGAAGATTTGCGTATCAGTTTCATCATTTCAAAAGTATGCAAAACTTCTTGGTTGGACTTGTGATATGGTACGATAACAAACCCGATTGAAAATCCTTTTGCAGTGCCTATGACAGCCATAACGACGATTCCCGTCATCATCAGATACCACTGCTCCTTCGCTTTCGAAACGATTCGCCCGGCGAAAGCGGCGAACACTGCGAGGGAGGCCTGCCCCAGGATCGACACCGTGGACAGCACACGAATCGCGTCCGCCTTGTCGGGAATTAGCAGGGCGTCGCGCATGTAGAACAGCGCGAAGGGGAAAATTGCACAGGAGGAGTAGAAGAAAATGCGGACCCAAAACAGCAGGTGATAGTCGAAGGAAACGGTCAGCGCGTGGTAGAGCACATGGAACCAGTTTTTCTTCAGCGCCTCTGATTGCTTCTGCCTCTCCACTTCCGATCTATCTTTAGTTGCCAACTCGTTCCTCTGGGGGTCGCCGGCGGTGGAGGTTGTGGCCGCGCCATCTACTTCTACCCCGTCGTTTATGTCGATAGTGCCGTAATTCTGATCGGAATGCAAATTCATGTTCGAATTCGCCGGCGTTTGCTCATCTCCCCTGCGATGAAGTAAATTTCTGCCACCTCCAACTCCTACGGAAGCAGCCAAAACTCCGCCGCGTTGTTCTTGGTGCAAGTCGCTGGGTGGCTCTCGGGCGAACGCGAAGAAAAGCACGGAGATCAAAACGAAGACCGCGAGCAACAACACGTAGGTGTTTTGCACGGCGCTCTCGGCCAGGAAGTACTGGATCAGAAACCCGATCAAACAGCCCACCGCGCACTGCAAGATCGCGAAGCCGCTGGCCACCGCGGTGAGCTTCGACGGGACGACGTCCGCGAGGAAGCTGACCGTGCAGGAAACGACCAGGTTTTTCCCGACCATGACGCCCGCCAGGCCGAACAGGTAGAACCCGAGAAACAGTTGGGAGGACGCCAAGTACATGATCGTCAACGCGCAGACAACCAACAGCGACCCGCCCGCCAACCAGGGCCGCCGCTTGCCCCAGCTGTGGAAGGTTTCGTCCGACAAAGCCCCGACGACCGGGGCGATGGCGTGGGTCAGCCCGTACAACGTTTTTTCCAGAATGACGTACTCGCTCTGCCAGGTGGAAGCCATACGCATCGCTTCGAGCGGCACAAGGAAGGGGACGTAGGTTCCCATCACCACCCCATAGAAGACGTACACGCCAGTCAGGAAAAACAGGGTCAGCTTGCTCTTCACCCTGTACCCCACATACGGGTCAACATTTGCTACAGTTTTGTTCATCGCTCCTGGTGGTGCTGTCGCTGTCCTCGCCGCTGTTGAAGACATCTTCGAGACTGCAGCGCCTGCGGTCCTGCTCCTGCTTCCGGTACTGTCGCTACTAGAGGTCACTTCTGGATTCATCTCCGGGTCTTCCTCCTCGATCACGGCAACGGGGGCTTTCGCAGTTGATGATGATGCTCCGGCTAACACTTTTCCGTCTACTTCGGCACGACTGCTATTAGAAATATTGCCGGTGCTGAGCGCCGGTGCAGCTTCACCTCCTTGCTGCGCCGTCCTCCCTCGCGCAGAGACAGAGAGAGCATTCATCTGCGCCTCTTTGCTCGTCTTCCGCTGTACTGAAGTCGCCGTGGTGCCTTCGTCTGCTGAACTGGTCCCGCCGACACCAGTGTAACCTGAAGCAGCGGTCATCAGCATCTTGAAGTTTTCCTTGTCGGCTTGTAGTCCCGCCATTTTATGTCGGCTTGTTTTTTCTTTCACACACACACGCAGAGATTGATTGAATATGTTTGTTTTTCTTAATTCGACTTCAATTCCTATGAAAGGAACAGCGCTAGAGGTAGAGGTCGGACGGAAAGTTGGATGCCGATGCGTCTCGTCATACACTAATCAAAAAGCAAAAGTAGCTGCGGTTAAACCCGATCAACACTAACTCAAGGACGAAACACCGAGCATGTTGAAGATGCTCGTGGCGAATACTACGATGAATGGTCTTAAAGCTGTAGCTTTCGAGCTGTTCATGTTCATGTTCTAGTAGAAAACTACTTCATCACGACCTTCTGAAATACGACAGACGACAATGTCGCGAAAGCCCACGATTCTAATTTGGTTTTAAGTGACGACTGCGACGGGAGACGAAGGAACACATCACGAGCAAGATCGAACGCCGGACCTGTCTTTCCTCCCAAAGCCAATACAGACGACGGACTTTATGTTCTGAAAGTCGGATGAGGAGGCTCGTCATCTCCCGTAGAGGACATAGATACGCGAGGACTCCAAGTGCTGATGCGCTCGAACTGACAGTGACATGGGAACAAGATTATAGCGATAGTGTACAAAGTCATAGGTTCTTGATGTTTATCATGTGGTTCAGTTTAGAAATTGAATCGCAGTAAATTGGGCAACGGAAGTTCCACCGGCGGCCTTGTCAGCGGCTTCAATATTTCATCATCCTCCGGGGGTAATTCTACCTCGCTCTCCGACATTTCTGATTCTTCACCTCCATTATACTGAGCCCAGATGTGCGCGAACGGATTTGCTTGTGGCCCCGTCCTGGAGAGCAGCAAATTGCCCTTCGGAGGTGCGCTGGTTTGAAAAGACGTAGTACCCGTAGTGCCTGTGCCGGCACTACTAGTCCCCTGCTGCTGTGGTTGTAGTGATCCTGCCGGTGGGCCCCCAGACGTAGTTCCAGCCGGTGATAGCGCCGCCAGAAACCTTTGTGACGCGATCAGTTCGGCCGAAGGGGAGGAGGACGTAGGAGCGGAATAAAACTGTGCCGGCACAAATTGTTCTCCTCGCGGTGAAATCCCATCCCCTACTTGTGCAGCACCCCCTTGGTACAACGCGTATGCGTTGCTGTCCAGTACAACATCTCCCATAGAGCTGGCGGAGGCGGTGAGAATCTCCTCCACCGTTTGCTTGTATATCGTCGCTGCCAAGTCTGGTTGCGTGGTAAACGCCTTTTTGATAATCGTCCTCGGCGTGTCAAAACCCATGATATTATTGTCCTCTGGATTTTTACTTGTGGTCGCGTCGAAGTTGCTATTTGAGTTTGTGTTGGTAGCTCCTGCACCATAGTTGTAGTACGTTCCCACATCGTGGCCGTGCAACTCCGTCAGCTTCGCCCCCACGTGTCCGTTGACCTCGCCGAACCGCTGAGAAACGGGGAGTTGCTTCGCTGCGTTGAGAAGAAACCGCTCGTCGAATTGCTGCAAGGGGGGCAGCGGGTCTACTTGTATGAGCGGGATGAAGTTGTTAGGAACTGCTGCACTACTAGTGAAACCCTCCGGACTGCGGCTCCGGCTTCGACTTTGTTGCAGCGCCGCGCTTTGATGCTTCGGTGGCAGTATGGTCGTGTTCAGGAGTGCTAAATGGAACGCCCCGGGTGGACCAGCTAGCACAGGTGAGGGAACAACGCCTGCAACTGGTGCGGTCCCTGGTCCTGCTTCAGGCGGCGGCAGCTGTGTAGCCGTAGTTGCAGCTTCCGGAAAGTTAAACCTGAAGCCACCTGCTGGCGCAGCGATCAAAGCTCCTGCTCTCGAAGATGCTGGGTTTGATTTAGACCTCCTAGGATTCAGCAGCGAAGCGGGCTTTTTAATACCCATTGGAGAAGAAGTTCCTGGCGACCTGGACCTACTTTTCAATCCCTTGTCGCGCTTGGACTTGCTGGCAGCCTCCTCGGGATTCACCTGCAGTGCCAGCTGTCCGTCGTTGATATGATCTCCTGCTGTAGTTCCATTTGCATTCATTCCCCACAGTAACTCCCTCTTCTCCTGCTCCTGCTTTGCGAGTTGTTCCGATTGTGTAAGACCGACCTTGTCCTTGGTTGCGTCCTCCGCCTTCCTCTCCGCTTGATCTAATTCTTCCTCCACGTCGTAGATAAAAGTTCTTTGTTTCAACTTCCGTGCCGTCGCTTGTTGCATCAACGTGCGCGGAGTCAACGTGTCCCCCGTGACGAAGCGCGGAAACAAAGGATTTTTGTACTTTTCCTTCCGGATGTTCGCTAGCAGTTCCTCTTCCCGTTTCGCGATAAGAAATTCCTCTTTCGTCTGCTTGCTGACCGTCAGGAGTTTCTGCTGTTTCGTGAAATGTAAATTCAGGTTTTGCGCTGACACCTCATCGATCTCGGGCATCAGCAAAACATGCTCGTCCGTGTGGAAGTAGACGTTATTCTGATGTTCTGCCGCACTCGCGCGGGTCATTCTGTCAGCACTCGAAGATCCGCCGAAAGATGACCCTGGGGCGGCAGGTACTTCTAGTGGCACCCCTTTCATGCTATCGACCTTCATCGCGGAGGAGGAGCTACTCCGTGTTTTCATTGTTCTCCGTTCCGGGTGGGGAGAGGAGCTCGCGCGCAGATTGTCGTAAATGGTACTGTTCCCCACGGCTTCAAACTTCTGCTTCTGGGTAGAGAACTTGTCATAGTCTTCCGCGAGGATTAGTTGTGTTTTTGTGTGAAAATGTATTTGCTCCGTCACGCCGTCTTGTTCGTACATCGTGAGCCAATCACTGTAATTTTTATCGTCTGGTTTGTTGCTGGAAACCCGAATGGACATCCCCTTCTGCACTTTCGCCGAGGGGTGGCGGTTCTGGCTCGCGCGCAGCTGATCGTAGATCGTCGACTGGCCCGCACGGTAGTAGTCTTGGTTGGTGCCGTCGTCAAAGTAGAAGTCCTCATCCTCTTCGACTCGAGGTTCGTTTTCCGCCAAACCTTCTACTTCTGTATCAAGTTCCTTTACCGCGAAATTTGAAGATCCACCGGCACTAACAAGAACTGGGCTTCTATCGGCAAACGGGTGCGGCTTTGCGTAGTTCGATAAATCTTCGTCGATGACTCCGTGGGCCGTGGAGAAAACAGCGGACTGGGGTAAGTGCTCATCCGCTTTCATGGACTTCCTTTGCTCTGGTGGAAAAGTTTTGCTCTTCTGTTCCGGGTGCGCCGAAGCCGCTGCGCGGCTAAGTGGGTTGTGGATGGAATGCTCTGTGGTTTTCTCTACCACTCCAGCGAAGGGGGTCAGCTCCGTTTCGATGTCTTCCTCATCTACTTCAAAACGGTTGAAATCATTGCCCTCCTGTTGAACAAACCCCCCGGAAGCCGCCGCGAAGTCGCTTCTCGACGAAGATGCTCGTTCCTCCGCGTCCTCTGAACTTTGCAAAAGCTCCTGCAATTCCTGCGCTCGCTCGGAATCTGACCGCGAATCCTCCTCGACCTCTAAATCGGAAGTAGTTGCGGGACCCGCATCCCCTTCTTCCAAGTATCTATTTTGCTTGTATGACTTGATGTTCGAGGAAAAATCTTCATTGCCAGCAGCACGACCTTGGAGAAGTTCCAACTCGAGCTGCTTTAAGGAGCTCGACCGCATTGATGATGCTGGTCCACTATCAAATGTAAAAATGTCTGGGTCTGGAAGGGTTCACTGTTGTGATGCAAACTCTGGAACACACAAAAATTTGTGTTGCATGAGCGCCAAAAGCTGTCCATTTCTTGGCACGCAAGTAGGAAGTTTCTCATGCGGGACAGGCATCATGAGGCGTGCTCAAAACCTGTGATGCTTTTGCCTGCATCAGACGCCACTTGGACTTGCGTGATCCGAAATATGCATGACAAATCTCAGAATCTACCAGACCCAGACATTTTTACATTTGATATCCACGAGAACTCCTGTACGCCACGGGTTCGTGCGGGATCAAGTGCCCCTCCAAATCGCCGAACCCCGTGATCGCAAGATCCCCGGATAACCCCGTGTTCGGCTCGTGTAAATGCATCACGTGGTGTTCGTCTTCGAATTCCGGTTTGTGGGATTCCGTTCTGACAACACTTCTTTGCACCCGGGGTTCCGGGTGTCGCGCGCCGGACGCCCGGACGTGCTCGTGAATGGTGCTATTCCCGATTTTCGCGAAGTTCTGCCTTGTTCCGAAGGGCAGCTGGATCGGCGTTTCTTCTAGCTGAAAATTGTTCTCGTCCTCCACGTGGAAGACCAAATGGTCGTGGGTACTAATCCTGGCAGTTTGCTCTTCGAATTGGTTCGATGTGCCGAGTTCTTGCTGACCTGAGAGTTGTACATTTTGGTTTTCTTCGTCTCCGTCCACATACAGATTCTGTTGCTCTCCCTCTCCCTCGCCGGGTGAAACAATTTTCATCGACGGAACCCTGCCTGAGTGGTGCACCTGCAGTTTCGCGTGTGGGTTTTTTTGCGGACTGGCGCGAAGATTTTCGTGGATCGTGCTTTGCCCGATTTCCACTTTGTTTTTGGAAGTAGTACCTTTATGCGCCAACAGCGTCAATTCTGCGGAAAGTTGCTCGTCCTCAGGCACGAAAGCGGTGAAAGGATCCTCCATCGTGTGATTGTTCCCGTCGTGTTGACCGAAGTGCTGGTGGTAATCGAAACCAGTCTCCGGCTTCTCCGACGGGTGCTTGATTCGTCCCGTCGTCCGGTACTTGCTTCCCGGTGCCTTAGAAAAGCTCCCCCGCTGCGGCCCGTCGTGGATGGTGCTTAAAGGGATCTCGCCGTCGGCATCGTAGATGGAAGAGGGGAGGCGGGTGGATGTAAAGCGGAGTTTGTTGCTTGGGTCTTGTTGCGACTCCTGCTCGTAGTTGTCCTGTCCATCTGCGTAGTTGTATTCGTTGTATTGCTGTTCGTTGTAGTAGTTCTCCCAATCCTCAGCCGTGTACTGTTGTCCGTACTCATCGTAGCCATAGTAGTTGTCTTCAGAATTACCGGTAGTACCCGGAACAACCATACTGGCATTGGCATTGGGAACCACTCCTCCTACCGCCGCTCCGCTATTCGCACTGGAGCTCATCTTGTCTTCGTAATACTGCACGACACTCCCCCCGGTCCTCACCACCGCCGCTAATTCGTCCGAAATTTCCGTTCTTGCCGAGGTCAGCGCGCCATTGTCTTCCTCGTAATCCTCTCCAGATAATTTCGACTGGCTGGTCAGTGACTGCGCAATTTGAATATTACTATATTGACGATCTTCCCCACGACGACCAGCAGCGGACGTCGAAAGCCTTTCCTGCAGCCCCTGCACTAAAGACTGCTGGAGCAAAGAAAACGAGGTCCTTTCCCGCAGCTGTATCTGCCTCTCGTCTCTTGCAGGTTGTTCCAAAACCGCAGCCGTTTCCTTTCTAAGCTCCGCGACAAAATTTTGCCGGAGGGATTTTACGCTGGAGTCGACACTTTTTGTCAGCCCTTGCTCGAGCGGTGCGAAAGTTGGCAGGAAATTGGTGTCGCTGTTGATCGTTTTTTTAGAATCAGGCTGGCTTGATTTAGAGGTCTTCGCGTTCGCTGCGAATAGGGCGGCGCTTGGCAGATTTCGGTCAAGGACAACCGGTGTGGATGACCCCTGGCCCTCTTCCACTGAAGCTGGTGGCCCACGTTGTTCGGCCTCTGGTTTAGTTACAGCAACGGGAGGACCACGGGTGGATTTGCTCGTACTAGCTGTGGCGTCGCCTGCAACTGAATCCACCTGTGGCACTGCTTGTTCTGGTCGTGGCTGCATGTTGACACCATCGTGCATCGCGGCGACAGGGCGGGTACTCCTAGCATCTTCGTTAACTGCAGGTTCTGACTCTTTGTTCTCCACCAAAATAACAACTTCCCCTGCGGGAGGCGGATTCGAGTCCAAAGCGTAGTCTGTCGTGGTGCCAGAAGACTCTTTCTCGGCCCCTTCAGGTACAATGGCTTCGCCTTCTGGAATCGTCCAAAAGTCCCACTCGACGTTTTTGGAATTGGTATTTCCGGCTCGAACTTGGGTTTGATCCACGTCCGCCTCCTCTTGGTCTTCACCATAAGAACCGGATTCTCCACCAGGTGGACTAGTAGTTTTTTGGAAGTTTCCATAATTCTCTGGTGAGCTATCATTCCTTGTGTGCTCCCCTTCGCGGAAAAGATAGGCACTAGACGACCCGTCGTGGTGGGCGTGAGGAGCAGGTGATGATGAGTTAGCTGTACTTGCTAATGGTCCACCGAACGGAGTAGTGGTCGTCCCGGTTTCTATATCCATGGGAAAGGCAGCCACCTGCTCACCAGCGTTTTCTCCTTCCCCTCTCACGCGGTCGAATCGGTTTACAAGCCTTTGGTGCGTTCTCGTGCCATCGGTATAATTGTCGACGAGGAGATCATCTACCTCTTGGTCTTCTTGCCGTAAAATAAACGCTTCCCGCTCGAGAATTTTTTGCGGTTGCAGGCTCTGCTGCACCCAACCAGTGGAGAAGGAGCCGGGGTTAGTCTCGACGTCATGGAGATAATTAGTATGCCCGGGGGCTGCTCCGGATGCAGTGGCCTCAAAAAGGCCCTCTACTTCCACTTCCGCTGCGGACCCGGAGGACTTCGAGGTTCTTAAAGATAAACTTGTTTTGCTGCCACCATTTATTTTACCCAAGGAGCGGCCTCCAACAAGCACCACCTCCTCGGTAATTGCGAAGTTTTCCGGTGCGAGGAGTTGCTCTGTCAGTTTTCTCTGTTTTTCTAAAAATCTTTTCCCCGCGTCTACTTCGTCGGAAGCTTCATCCGCTTCGGCCGCTGCTCTACTTCGTTTCGGCGACGTGGAGGAGATTCGCAAAGCCCTTTTCGTATTCTGCAACGCCAATACCCGGTTCTGCTGGCGCCGCAACGCGATCTCGTAGGCGGTCGTGCTGGGATGTAGAGCAGGGGGGCTGGAAGGACTTTTTTGCTGAGGTGAGAAACTGTAGACCTCTTCGTCTCCTTCGTCGTCCGGAAAAATGCCGGGAGAAAAGAGTATTTCATCTGCTCCTGCAACCGCGTCGTGAAGATCCTCGGCCATTTTGGAATGACAGGCGGTGGAGCGTTGCTTTGAATTTATCTAGCAGATTTTCACTGGGACAAACTTACAAGACGAGGGATCATCATGGGTAGCAAAGCATGTTGAATTGGTGTCAACACAAATATGTATGGGAAAGGGAAGTATTGGGGTCCAGAATGAGCTGTGGTTCATCGTCCAAAGAGAATGACACGCATTTTTCAAATGTTCGTCCTTTCGTTCAGTTGTACGTCCGGCGCATCAGCTCGTCTGACATACTCTGCTTCTACAAGCAGGGATCATAATGGATGAACGACAAAGACCGAAATCATGATGAACGAAACAAAGTGACGAAGCAAAAGTGAACGAACCGATCAGGTGGTGCTGGAAATCACGGTCACGTTTCAAAGCTGTCCGGATTCAAGTGTCACTGCACGACAGATTTTCTCTTTCTCAGCGTTACTTCGAAGCACTGTGAACGTGATTCAACCGATGTGCTGACAGTGCTGGTTTCAGATGACTACTTGACCGAGGTACCACAGGCATAGGGAAACCGATTTCCATTTGCCGAAATAAGTGCAAGCAGGACGAGAGAGTTGGTGGTAAATAGCTGAGAGTTCTCGTTTGCCACGGCAGCCGCATTGCCATTTTTGGAGTACTGCTGCGAAGCCATCTTTTTCTTTCAAAAACTGTTTGTCTCTATCTTCGGTCGTTGCTGTTCTTCCGGTACTACACTGGGGAAAGGGTGGTCCAATGCTGGTCGCAATTGGGAAAAGGGTACTTCATCTCCAGTGCTGGGGGGTGTCGCGTCGTTGGGTAGAATGAAAGCATGACCACGTGTTGCAACGGGCTCAAGCGGCATGACCACGTGTTGCAACATCATACTCAGGCGCTATACAAATAAAGACACGTTCTGTCGCTAAAAATCCGCAAAATCATCTAACCAGTCATCGCCGGGCTTTTTCGCGTCGCCATTCCCACCGGACGAGATTGCGGGGTCCAGTTTACTCGCCGCTACTACACCGTTGGAACCGGGTGCAGCATCTCCGAGCAGGTTCACGCTAGTACCGCCCTGTCCAAGTTGCACCGGCGCTGGAGGCGGGGGCTGTTGGGCCATTGTTCCTGCGCTCGTCGTTGTCACTGGTATTGTGGTATTTATCGGCGCTGCAGATGATGTTGAGTTTGCAGCCATCCCTGTGTTCAAAAAGTCCAGGTCGTCGGCCAAACTTCCAAACGCGTCCCCGCTGGTGTTTCCGGCGGAATGGGGGTCCGGGAGGTTCTGACTCGCGGGCGGCGGCATGTTGCCGTAGGTCGTTGTACTACTACCGGCAAAATTTGACGAACCACCGCCACTTCCTGGATTGTAGCTGGAACCGCTGCTCCCCATGCCGTGGTTCATTGCGCCGTTGGTGCCGGAGATTGGGAAGCCATTCTCGTCCAGCTTTTCTTTCACGATGACCTGTGCGTATTCCGCGTACTCCCTCGATTTCTCGTAGCTTTGCGCCGCCAATTCCTTCGATTTTTCCACGGTCTCGGCGGTTTTTGCTTTTACCTTTTCCAGAAATTGCTCGTCGGTCACCGTTTCGTAGGTCTTTGCAGACAGCTCCTTGGCCTTGTTCAGACCGGCGTTCATCTGTCGTGCGGAGTTGTTTTGGACTTGTGGTCGTTGGGGTATGATTGAAAAATTTTCAAGTTCTAATTGTACACAATATATTGAATCTTCGTCCACAGAAGCGCTTTTTTACCACGCTCGGCTGGGACTGGTGGTCTTTCAAATGCATCACACAAAAAACACAAAAAACCGTAGAAGCGGGGCGGCGGCGCGCGCAAATTGCAGGGCGGGCGGATGAAACGACATTGGCAACAAAAGGAAATCGTCGCACAAACCACACGAAAACCGTAACCAACGAGTGCCCACTAGGTTGTATGTGAAGATGCCTCGGACGAGTACTTGCTCAGAGGCGCAGCAGCAGCAGCGTGTCAGCGCTTTCTCGCGGGCGCAATAAGCGTATCAATCGGGGCATCTGTGCGGGGCGCGGGCAGCTGGTGGTGGTTGCCGGAAGAGTTTTTCAACATCGGGAAAATTACACGCGCATCTTCCAGATAAACCAATACCGTGGTTCCGACGCTCTGCATGAAGCTCTGGCTGTCCTGCGGGATCTCGATCTGCTTTGCCTTCTCAACGGCCGCGTCCTTCGCCTTGGACGCGAAGGCCGCGGCGGTGCCCGCGAAGCCCCACAAGCTCGCCGCTGCAGCGCCGAACAGGTCGTCGCCGTTGTTGCCTGGAGGGAGGGTCGGTCATTTGGTTTTTGTTTTGAGAAAGCTAAAGCTATTCAGGGAGCCTCATTTTGGATCGAGGCGGCTGCGGCATTTCTCGATTTACAAAAAAACTTCAAGATTGCGCGCACCATGTTGCTGCTTCCCGACATCAGATCATAATTATCTGAACCACATAAAATTTATACCTCCCCGATCCTGCTGCGGCGGTGGCGCGGAGCCGAAGCCGGTCATGCCCCCGGAAGAACTATCAAATGCAAAAGTGTCTGGGTCTGGAATGTTGCTGGGTTTGTCTGTCATGCATATTTTGCATGACCCAGGATGTCTGTAATGCACGACCTAGCATCACAGATTTTTAGAGGGCTTCTCGATGCCTACTCCGCATGACAAACGCCCTCCCCGCGTAGCACAAACTAGCCTCCTCTTGCTGGTCATGCAATACAGATTTTTTCAGAGTCCAGAGCTAGCATCACAAGTTCCACCAACCTTCCAGACCCAGACATATTTGCAATCCATAAGAACTGGACGACGACGATCCCCCGCCGTTCGACGTAATCGACCCGGTCGCCGCTGCAGTGGACGCCGCTGGCGCTTCGAAGGCCGGCAGCGGTCCGGTCCCGGGAGCCAAAAGGGGGGGTAGCGGCTCGCCCATGACCTCGGCGCGCAGCGTCTGCCGGTACCACTCCGCGGCTTTGGTGTTGTATTTCTCGTTGATCTTGCCGCTGGCCGAGACCCCGTTGTCTTCCAGGGCCTTTTTCAAACGCGCGTTACCGCCCTTCTGCATGGAGGCTGGGGTGAGGAGGACATTGGATGATTTTGTAGTTGCGCTCTGCGTCTGCACAGTCGTCGAGCATGAGAAAACAGCCGTGTTTTTTTCTCAAAAGTCGTGAAAATCCGATATGAAAATTCAAAATAAGTACCTTTCTGTTTGTCGCTCCAGGTGTCCATCGTTATTGAGCGGACGAAACTGATGTGCACACCAAGGCCCCGGTGCTGCCCTGTTTTACGGGATTTTAAACAAGTTTGATAGAGATTGATGTGCTTCGTTCTGGTGATAGGTTCGTTTGCATTGATTTATCCTCGTACAACGAAAGAGCAGGTCCAAGTACATCACTCATAGCCTCGACACCTGAGCAAAAAGTCGAACTTCCTGTTTCTACATGTTTTCATACCTGAGCACAGGAGGCAGAAGTAGCAGCCGAGGTTCACAGAAGCCCATTGCGGGTGCGGTGCGCCGCAGTCGCAGCATTTTCCGTTTTCCGGGTCCTCCTCTTTCCTCTCGAGGAAAAACTGCTTCGTGCCGGTGTCCATGGTCAAATTCTGCTCGAGATCACTTCTAGTGCGGACAATTCACCTCAAGGCCACCACAACACGGGTTTGATGAATCCAGCGTTCTAGTTCTTTGTAGACGGTCGTGAGCGTGACGGATATTATTTCATCGGAAAATTAAAAAAGTAAATGTGAAAATCTATGGAATTGACGAGCTGAAGTTCTACTGTTGTTATTTTTCCAAACTAAATTCTTGAAAGCAGCCGTGGCTCTCCAACCTGTCAAAAGGCCTATGGAAAGTTACTATCGTGGAGGTGGCGCATTGAAACAAGAAGTACATCTTCCATGTGACGGTGCGACGCTGATGCGCACTTTTGTTCTTTTTATGTAAGTAAGTTTGGTCATAGTTTAGTACTCAATGATCGTTAGGACGAACATGCGTAGGATTTACTTCATCTTGATACCTGATGGCTCGTCGTTGTTCTTGTGCGCTCAGAGGTAATTTGGACCGATCAGCAATTGAATGCGTGTTCTCTCGTCAGCAGCAACACTGGTGGTTGTACCTAGCTACAAATGCCATGTCTCAGGCTCAGCTGGTATTGCTTCATTGCCGTCCACGGAGATCATGAACACAAGACCAAAGGCAAAGTAGTAGTCGTGCTTACCCGTGTGTAGGTGCGTGACTTCCTTTACCATGGCGAATTCGATGACATGAGCAGTCTCGTACGCATGAAATACTATACTCCAAAAATAAAAATGGTTGCAAAATTATACGGAGACAAAGAAAAAACTACATGAATAGTCTGAATCTTGATCACGACTGGATGAAAAACATTAGATGATAGATAAACACAATACCAAAATGAATGATTGAATGTCGATGTAGTTGTACTAATTCACATGAAAAAAATGAGAATATCCATCATCAATCAATACTACATGCTGGTGCGCTACGATGGAACTCCGTCCATGTGCGCCGGTATTAAAGGTACTGCTGTTCAAAATTGTACTACGTGTTCCACTTTCACAAAACTCAAAATATAACTTCCGAGTAGCTGCCCTTCATCCTCAACTTCCGTTTGGACCTCCGAACTCTCTTGTTAGCGAAGCCACAACATTCTCCCTTCCATTTTGCCTACCGTATCACACAGAAAACCAGTATCAACTACATGACATCATCAATTTCCATCCGACTGCTCCACATGATCCACGACCAAAGTGAAAAACACCTACCGGACCGACTGCAACCGAAGTCCTCTGAAGAGAATCGTCATCTTATTTGCAACGACGTTTCAATTTCAAGCAAACTATCGGGCACGACATGCAATAGAAACCACGACATAGTGCAAGGAGCACGTGGGAGGTCAAAAATAGAATTTTTAGTATGTTGATCTTGATCGTATGCAGCTAAGTTTATTTGATGTTCTGTGTGATAACCTCAGTTTTTGTTTCGGATCCCGCATGCTTGGCAAACTCGTTTCCATTTGCTGCAATTTTTTTTGCATCGCCTTTCGCAGTGACGTAGCGGGGACCAGTCGTGGCGGGCCCCGTTTGGCGGCTTCAACACTGGAACTTGACGGAACGTCGGCTGGACGCGAACTGGACCGACTGCGTGCTGCTGGACGCGAACTGGACCGACTGCGTTAGAGCTTTCAGAAATTAGTTCCCTGAGCAGTTCCTAAAAGCTTCGGCTTTCAAAAATTTTGAAGCAGGTGCGTAGGATCTGCGTTTCGACCGATAGTCCCGGTCTGACTACACGTCCTACGCACGCGACTTACCAAACAAAGTTCGCAAGTACAGCCGAAGTGGCACGGCAGCTTTATTTCTGGCCCCCCCAAAGTGTTGCGTGCCTATCACAGGAATCCTGTGATGGGCACACAATGTCAGAAAACCAGAAACAAAATCGTTACGCCGGTTCGGCTAAACTTGCGAACCGCCGCGCTCTGCGCGTGAAAGTTTGGGCCGCGACTCCAAGTGAGGCAATTGGAGGCACAGCACACAAATCCAAGGAGCGCATTGCTGTAAGTCTGCCGCGTAAGATTATGCTGCGCAGTTCTTCTGACCTGCTAACTCGTGGATGTGCGCTCACATGTGAGGAGTTCTCGGACGTGAGCTCGCATCTGAGGAGTTCTCGGATTTGAGTTCGATAGCAACAAATCTTAGGAGCACACTTCTGCAGGCCAGAGCACGAGAGTGCTATCCGAGTTTGTATTCTGACCTTGAAACACAGAAAAACCCGCACAAGACCATCTTAGGCGGGGGCTTTGCAGAACTATGATCCCAGGTCTCGACGCGGCGAAAATCCTAGGGGCGCACTTCTTTATCTCCCCGACGTCGGACGATTTTGCGCGAGGTCTTCAGACCTGTCGCCGGCCAGAGCACAAATCCGACGTGGGGGCCTTGCCGAAATGTGCTCCCAGGATTTCCGGCAAACCTTGGGAACGCATTTCCGAAAGGCTAGAGTGTGGCAGCTGCTGGGCGACCCCTTACTTATATTGAAGGCGCGTTGCTTTTAACGACGTGGCGCTGAACACGAATTGCTTGCAATATACTAGCACAACAAACAAAATACTGACTATGCCAAGGCATTGCAAGTAATTCGTTTCCAATAGCAGGGCACTTCAAAGCAACTCGCTTTCAACGAGCAGGAGCGCAAGGCCCACTCCTGGCAGCCCGGCAGGAGAAGCGCGGCAGCCCCGCCGAAGACGGCTGCCCATTCTCCCCCAAGCTCGCGCGCTGGCTGCTTCCCAGCCACATTTTTCATGGCCTTCGGCCATTCCAAGCGACTGCGAGAGTTTGCAAGCTAAACCCCCCTCGCGGTTTGTTTCCATTTTTTTCAAACCTAAGCTTTCGGGAACAAGGGTAGGAACTAATTTCTGTAAGCCTTAACTGCGTGCTGCTGGACGCGAACTCGAGCGAGCAGCACTTCCCCCTCTACTCGCGCTGCGGTTCCGACTCCCTTGAACACCCGCTCCCGAGGAGGAGGAAGACGAGGAAGTTGGGGTTTTACTTCGATTTCGCGCCTTACTAAGTGCGTTCTTCTCGTCAAGTTTGGTTTTCCCAGTGCGTTTCCCCTCCGCAATATCTTCCCAGTCCTTCATAAGCTGCACCTCGACTTCCTTGTTGCCGCGGTTGTGGTTGTGCTTCAGCCTTTTATAGCGTGCAAAATTCATGTGATATTTTATTATTTTCCATGGTGGTAGGTTGTACTTGAGTACTTAATTACACGCTTTGCGAGAACCAAAAAGCGACCTGTCTTTCTTGCGCTGGGAAGACTTCGTGCGTCGTGGTTGTACACTCTATCGAGAACCAATCGAAGTGCGAGCTGATATATCTGCAAAGGCGAGCTGTTCGACGCAGAGGTGTAATTTTTCGTGTGAAAGTACTACTACAAGACAAAATAATTCACTGAAAATTTTGCTCTCGGATACTCTTGTTTGGTCCATTCCGTGTCGATGCTTTGCACAAAATCTTTCAACAACCCGTACCGCAGGTGATCAACGTAGACACTGTTCACGACCGATTTTGATCCCCCCGTGGGGTTTTTTCCGTATGCATTGCAAATCTGTCTAGTCTGGCAGAATGCAAATATCTGTCATGCCGTTTTCGGATTAGCCAGAAGGTCTGGAATGCCCGAAGAGGAAGAGCATAGTAGGTCCTCCGGAGGTTCCCTCATGCGCAGCCTGCGTTTTCCGAGAAACAAAAACTGCGAACCTCTACTTGCCGACCATCTGCAAGACAGATTTTTATTTCTTCGTTGCTGTTGGTGTTCCAAAATCAGCATGACAAGTTTGCATCCTTCCCGACGCCGACATATACATATTTGCGATGCATATTTCCGTCCGTGCCGCTAATTCAGGCTCGTACTCCATCGCCCACTTCGTTAAATCAAAAAATGTATTTTCCCACTGGGCCCGCGCTTGGTCCCGGGTAAGCACCAACGGCTGGGCTTCCGCGAAGAATAGTCGCTGCCGCGGATCCGAGTTCAGGTGCTCCTTCAGCGGCGCTCTATGCAACTCCCAGTAGATCACGGCTGTCTTGCCCCCCGTGCCCGCGGCGTTGGCAAAACCGTAAACGACGGACGGAACGTGCTGGAACTTCGTGCCACGCTCCTCTCCCTTTCCGCGCAGCGCCCCAATCCCTGCACGCAACTCGCCAACCACCCAGGTGCTCTATCATGTGGCAAAACTAAGACCCAGACGGGTTTCCGATCCGATTCAAGGAAATAATGGTGGAAACTTCTACAACGAACAATAGCAAATATACCAAATTCCGCAAAGACGCTGCTGCATCGATTCTGTTTCACTTTTATTTTTTTTTCTCTCCGCCCCACTGCTTATGAGTCTGAGAGAGAGGCAGCAGCAGCTAGAGAGGTTGGATTCGTGGCTGCACATGCGAAATAACTGAGGAACCAAGGGGTCTTGAACAATTCTGCACCATGATAGGCTGGACAAGGCGTTCACAAACACGCTTTCCATTTTCAGAACGTTCTTCCCATGATCCTGCTGCTGGTACAACGGTGTTTGGAAATCGTAGTAGCCCGCGACGTAGTAGTTCGTGGCTAAGTGGCTCAAAGTGTCGAACATCCAGAATAGGTCGGCGGGCTGGGACTTGTACTCAAGCTGCAGAGCCGCCGGCTGCAGTCCGCAACGGTCCATCAAATCGAAAAACATGCCCGACTGGTCGTTGCAGTACAAACAGACAAAGGTGTTGTCGTATTTCCAGTTCTGTGCGTCCTGTTGTAGCTGCTCTTGCAGGAGGATGTTGCTCTCCTCCGCCGCCCGCCACTTGTGGGACATCATGTTATAGCCGACTCGGTTTTTCCCCGTCACGCGTAAGTCCGCGCGGCCGTAGTTCTCGATGAAATAAGCGAAGGAGACTTTGACAAGTATGGAAATCAAAAATACACCACCGGTCTAGTACTTGTACTCGAAGGAAGCTAGTAGTAAGTTGCGCTTCTGGAAATACGATGATGTGCGTACTATACGTTTATGTCTTCTACTTCATAATGAGTACTGAAAGACGCGGCGCAGCAGGGGTGGGATTGGTTCCGACTGGAGACTCTACACAGGAGACCTAACGCCAAATCCCTTCGGCGTCTGTCTTTTTGTGTTGACACTTTTCATGTACAAACTGGCCAACACAAGCAGCCGCACTCTGCAAACTCACTTCCTTCGGGTACTTACCGCTGAGGTGCTGTGCTGGTGGAGCGGGTTTTCAGTACGGTAAGGCGAGCGGCAACCACTGCGACCAGTCCATCCATGAGGTCCTGCTGGTGCACTAGGTCGAACTGTGCAAGGGAAACCTGGGGCAGGTGGTCCTAACGCTATAATGTCTGTTTGTTGTGCATCATCATCATCACCGTACACAAAAAGGAGTTCATGTTCTTGTTCTTGTTCTTGTTCCTGATAGTTCTTGTTTTACAGCTATTTTTTGAGTTCTACTCTGAATAGGGCAAGGACATCCATCTACAAGAGCATGCATGCGAGAGTAGTTGTATGAACAACATGACCGCATTGATGTCTTTTTTTATCGATTCACGACGCACGTCGTCGCGGCCCTGCCGGTCACCACGGCTCCTGGGTTTTCCCATCTCATACAGCCGATTTTGACTCGATGACCTGTCGGTTCCACGGCTGGTTCCCGTCGGAGTCTTTTGTCCACACCGGCGTCTTGTAGTCCGGATAGGAGCCGCACCGCACAAATTGCACGTAACGGGAAGCTGCACCTTCGGTTCCTGACAGGTGTTCTTCGTATCCCGTGTTTACAGTCGTGTAAACGCTTTTGTAGAAATCCAGTGCGGCCCTTTGCGCGTTGATGGTCATGTAAATGTTCGACGCGTGTGGCGGTTCCGTATGTGCCGGCGCACCGAGGAGACTGTTCGCGTTTGGCGTCATGCCGTATTCAAAAGCCTTGACGTCCTGTCGCTTGGCTCTCTTTAACGCTTCCCAAGCCGGGGGCCCGAAGAATGCAATAAATTGAGGCACAAAGTTGTCCTTGAATATTTGCGCCATCGGATAGTGAAGCGGCAGGTATTTCAGGAAGAAAGTTTGCTGCATGGTCGGGCCCTCGGTTCCGAAATTTTCTTTAAACCACTCACCGTAAATGGCTTCTTCCACGGTGTCAAAAAAATCCCGAGAAAGATCTTCATCTACAATTTTGGCCCAGTGCGTGTCCGTCAAACCGTTCTGGATTGCCTCTCCGTCTAGGCTTTTTTGCAAATCTTTCCCGAACTTCACCGTGCCCAGGTCTTGCATCGTCTTCCGGTCCCACTTCGCGGGAGAACTGTCGTATTCATGATTTTCTTGCTGTTGAAAATTCCCCTGATATAAGTAACTTAGAATTGGTCAAAAATCGCCCCAAGAACAGTCTGTTTTAAAAAAACTTTCCAATTATTATTATGCGCGCAAGAAAGAATCAATTAATTATACACAGAAGGCGGTGGGTCATCCTTGCCCTCACCCTCACCCAATGCGTCGGCGTAGGCATCTCGGATTTCAGGGCTCTTGACCCCGCGCATGATGCCCTCGACGTCGCCTTCGGAAAGCTGAAAGCGGCTCCCTTTGCCGCCGGGCGACGGCGAACTTTTCGCCGATGCGGGCTGGTGCCCCGGTGCTGGACTCAACAAAGACTTCGACTTCGCACTGGGGCCGGTTGGTGTGGTAAAACCAGGAGCCGGGTCCCCGACTTTACCGGCACCCTGCCCGGCAGCGGGGCTGGACAGGTGGTGCCCCAGCAGCACGGGGCTCCCGCTCCTCGACGAGTCTAATCCGTTTGTTTCGACTTCGAGCTTGATCGATTCATCTTTACCCTGCGGGAAGATCTGAATTGGTGGCAAAGTAGGCAAACTCCGACTCAGTTTCTTCTGAAGACGCCGTTTTTCCAGAAACTTCGAAGATTCATCCGGGCCGTCCGCTTCCTCCTCGCTCGTGGTACTTATCGTCACTGGCCGCGTCAGGAGCCCAGTCACTCCCCCGACCTCCTGTGAAAACGACAAGATCCCCACCGGGACGAGGAGCGGGCCCTGGGAATATAGGCATGCTACTGGAATAACCGAACTAGTTCTCATCCTGGTGAAGTTCTTGCTCGAAGGTCCTCTTCCTCACAGGTCGATGTAAATAAAAATAACGTGTATAAAGATACCGTGTAGCCAGATTGAGCTTGTCTTTTCAGGACAACTATCAAACAGAAAATTGAGTCAAAATGATGTTTTAAAACACGTGTAAATGCAAACCTCAATGATTTACTGCGTGTATGAGTACGTGTGCGTGAATCGAAACAAGAATCATATAATAGGCACCAAATCTTCACAGCCAGTCGCGTCTGTTTGGTTTTGGAGGAAAAAAAAGAATGCTCAGTGAGCCCGCGACCTAGGGCTAGCTAAGCTAATGCGTGCAAAAATCCGAATTGATTTCATCCTGCACAGAGGTTCCGTGTCTTTTCACATAGCACAGACTCACATCTTCAATCCGCTCGGCGGCACCTGCATCAAACCGAAGTAGAAGCCGCTTCCGTCATCTGAGTACTAACCGATGGAGGAAGACCACACAGATGAAGAATGAATTCTTTCGAGGAGTAAAAATCTCCGGATCACATCAAGCTGACAAAAACAAACCGATATCACTTTTGTAGTTTCCACTGAAGCTGTGGGCTCTTTCAACATGAAAGACCGACTGTGAAAAGGTGGCCGCTGAGAATCATACTCACCAGAAAAAGTGACAGGCCGACAAATCAACTAGACAGATCTACTTTTTATTTCATCCGCCTTTTATTGACAATACCGCGGAGCGGTCACATGCAGCACCTTCTGGTAAACGTATTTCTTGTGCAGGGCAGCGGAAACTTCGCACAAACACATTTAGAAAGCGCACCTTCACCGAGCTGTGCGGTTGTCCTTGCGCAGAGACTTTTTCAAACGTGCAGCCGTCCGATAGGAGAAGTACTGGTGGCCCACTTGTTCTTGGAAAATAAGCTGCGTCACACCAAAAGGAAAAGTTTTTTTGTACCAATCCCATGCCCTACTTGCTGGTCCAGCAGCTGGCACCATACCACTCCCACATACTAATCCGGTGCCACATTCATAACACTCGGGGTGCAGAGCGCTTCTACCAATAAGGATAATCCTACCGAGCACAGAATCGTTCTGCAGCGAGAGTATTTAAGGGATGAAACGACAAGATCATGACAAAATTGAAAAATTCATAGACTGGAAGTACTCAATGGGTCGATGTTGAGCCTCAAAAATTGCGTCGCAACAGATGAGAGCGAGGGAAACGTTTATGCGCAAATTAAAATCAGAAATGTCCTTCGACATAGCCGCAGGAGCCGAGCCGTAGTTCTTTAAAAAACGATACTCATACTGAATGTATGTCAAGAATGTGTTCTGTAAGTAAAAAAGATGACGACAAGAAAGCAAGCGTACTACGTCAGTGTGTTACGCTTAATTATGGGAATGATGTACAAAACTGTAAAGAAAAAAAATAAGAAATAGCATGAGAAAGCGAAAACCTGCCACTCCGACTCCGGCGCCGGCCTTTAGTATTTCGGGTGGCGAGCTACTACTAGAGCAGAATGGCGCAAACATACATGATCATGATAGGACTGTGCGAGCGCCACTACTTCGCTCAATCTCTCGGGGAGAAGGATGAGCGCCACCATGCAAACAAAATTTAATACGGCCTCCCTCCTGGAACCATAGTTCGCAATCGCATAGCGTACTACTCCTGTTCTCCATTCGCGGTCCTGGCCAGCGCCCGGCGCGTGTATCGCGAGGAAAAACCCCCCTTCCCATATTGACAAGGTACGTTTAAATTTGTGTTGCTGATTTGTGACCACAAATCGCGTCTGTTTTGCAAGAAGGCAACTCCACGAGCTCCACAGTGTTTTGCAGGCGGTTTGTGATGCTGGTGAGCCCCTGCAGCAAGGACGTTTCTCATGCTAGACGCCTAGGCCAAAACCTCTCTACTTAGGCTTAGTATGGGCCTGCATTCCTCTCCAGCAAGACAAATCTGATTTGTGTACGCAAATCCTGCATCAGAAACCTCGTTTTGATATGGGGAAGGGGGATTTTTTCTTTTGATAGCGTGTCCACTTTGTACAGGAGCGCGGCGGCAATCCCACACATAATCACCGAGCACAGCGCTATCAGTTGGTGCCCGCCTTCCGTGTAGCCCGGCTCCCACAAAACCCCGTTAAAATCCGCCTTGGGCGCGGCCCCCGCTGTAGCTCCTGACGCCGCCTGCGCCTGGTCGAGCGCTTGCTGCCGGCTTGCCGCCTCCGCCATCTCCGCTTCGGAGTGCTTGTCTTCCGACCCCCCCGGCACCTTGAAGTGCTGCAGGGCCGTCCCGATGACGATGCTGCCGAGGACAAAGCCGTAGGTGATGCTGGGGCCGAAAATGCTCATGGCGGCACCGTTCCCCACCCCGGCCGGAACCAGCTTGAAAGCGAGTCCCATGTATGAGAGTGCACAACTCCCCCTCCCCCTCATTTGTATTGCATGAACCGCAATACAAGCATCAACAAGCGTGCCGGTTTTGCATGACAAATTTGCACGGGAGTATGGTGCTCTTTGAGCTACCAGAACTTGTCATGCAAACAGTGCCAAGGGGCAAAGGGTGAGTTGGGTATTGTGCAGGACAAATGAGGGGGAGGGGGAGTTGTGCACTGTCATACCATGTCACCGACTCCCATGAACCCGACGCCCAGGCCGTAACCGAATCCGCCAATGTGTACCAGAATGGACACGCCGGTCTCCGAATCCTGTGCAAAAACGTCCCCACCCCAGCGTTGTCATGCAAATGCGCAATGACAGGAACATTTGTAATGCGCATCTACATCAGAGGCATTTCCAATCGTGTTTTGGCATTTGTAATGCTGTGAACAGGATGAGCAAATGGTCTTTTCATGCGGCTTCCCTTGCTAACCCCCACTAAACTGTAGATGGAGACTTGTCATGCACATCTCCCAAAACTTGGAGATATATTGTGTTGCAGATTTACCAACTTGACTATGGGGTGAGGACGTTTTTGCTTAGGATACTCCGTCAGGATCAAGCTCTTCGCGGGGTTGTTTTCCCCGTAGTGGAAGCTCGCGTACTCTGGGGTCAGCATGGGCAAAAGACACAGAGTCGAAAACACGAGGACCATGGTATCCTGAGTAAAAACGTCCCCACACCAGAGTTGTCATGCAGATTTGCAATGACAGGAACATTTGTAATGCGCATCCCCATGAAAGCCATTTCCACTCGTGTTTTGGGATTTGTGATGCTGTGAACAGGATGAGCAGATGAATCTGTGACGCGGCTGCACTTGCCAACCTGCACTACACTGAATAGTGCAACTTGTCATGCGTGACTCACAAAACTCCTAGGTTTGTGTTGCAAAATCCCCATCCTGACTCTGGTGTGGGTACGTTTTTACTCAGGATACATGGCCCCCAGCCCGACGCCCACCAGCACCTTCTGCGCGTACACCCTACTGGTCAGCAACGTCGCACCCAGTGCGACGACAATGATCGCACACTGGCTGATCATGGCAAGAGACGAAAGTTGTTGAATCCCCTCCGCCTTGGTAGGTACATGAAGCGCATCTCGGAGGTAAAAAAGGAACATGCTCATGGAACTGCATCCGGCATAGAAGAAAATTCGCACGAAAACCAAATACTGGTAGTCCGGTGAGATGGTAAGCGCGTGCCAGAAAGTACCAAAGAAGGACGACATGGCGCCTGACGCGGCGGCAAGGCCTGCGGAGCAGGAGGCGAAAAAAGAGGAATCATCATTTTCTACCTCGGCTGAGTGCAGCTCCAGGTTGCGCTCGTTGTTGGAAGTAGAGATCGTGTTCGACACATAGTTGTTCGGCGAAGCTCCTGAGGTTGTTGGCCGTGGCGTCGACGTCGTTCCACTACCGGCTGTTCCTACTGCGACACTGTTGTAATGCGTATACCGCATGTGCGTGTCGATGATGTCCTCCGCGTTGTTGTAAAAATCCGAATCCGTGTCCGTGGTCACGCTGGTTATCAAAAGGAAAAGTGCCCTCTCCCCATATCAAAACGAAGTTTCTGATGCTGGATTTGTGTACACAAATCAGATTCGTCTTGCTGGAGAGAACTGCGGGCCTATACTAAGCCCGAGTAGAGAGGTTTTCTGCTAGGCGCTAAGCATGGCAAACGTCTAGTCCGTAGGGCCAACAGCATCACCGACCGCCTGCAGAATGCGGCGGAGCCTGTCGTGTAGTTTCGTTCCTGCTGCAAGACAGAGACGATTTGTGGTCACAAATGAGCATTACAAATTTCCTTAGACGGACCTTTTCGACATGGGGAGGGGGGATTTTTTCTTACGATACTGGTTTGCCCGTCGCTGCTGTACCCCTGCTGCGTCGCCCCACTGGGCCCCCGACCTCCACCGCGCGAGGAGGGCGCCCGCGTGGAGCGATCCGCGAGACTCGCGTTCTGCAGATACCTCGGCTGCCGGTGCGTGTAATAATCCGCGCTGTCCCGGTATGCAAGAAAAACACTGCGTAAGTGTAAGTCTGTGATGCAGGAAATGCAAAACTGTATACGCTTGTCATGCTGGATTTGCGTCATCGGCAACTTTCATACGTGTTTCCACGTACTAGCTGCGCATGACAGGTTTTCCCTGCATTGCACAATTTGTGCTGCTGTTCTTCCTACGAAATTACACTTACACACTTTATTTTTCTTCGATACCCGGGCGGAGTACAGCTGGCTGGTCGCGACGGACTCCGTGTCAGTCGCGGCATCGGTCGCGGATGATTGCTGAGCGGTGGTCGGGGGTGTGAGTGAAGCGGCCGATATACATTGCAAAAGTTGGATCGCACTCGTACTGCTTGCAGGTACGCATGACAAATCTTCTTCCTAAGCCAAAACAGCATCACAAATCGCATTTGTCATGCTGAGCTAGTTTGTAATGCAATTTATGGTAGAAGTGCAGTACTTTTGCAACGCATAGCCGACATACCCTGCTGATTCCCCGCCCGTGCTCGCTCCTCCCGCTCGAACTCTTGTCGAAACCGCTGCAGACTCTCCGCGTCGCTCGGGGGCTCCGAGGCGACGAGGAAGAAAAGTAGCGTCGCGAGCACGTATATGAGAGTGCACAACCCCCCCCCCATTTGCATGGCATGAGCAGCAATACAAACACCAACACACTTGGAGCCTGTGCATGACAAGTTCACAGGCCGACTGTGGTACTGTTTAGGCTTCCGAAATTTGTCATGCAAACAGTGCCACAAGGCAACAAATCATTTGGGGACTTTGCATCACAAATGAGGGGGAGGGAGACGTCGAGTTGTGCACTGTCATAACGTAGACGCCCGTCACATAGACGTACGTGAACTTCACCGCGCTGGAGGCGAGTAGATATTGTATCCTGTGCAAAAGTATCGTATTCGTAGTAATTGCACTCATGCATTACAAATTTTTTTCTGAAGCTAAGTAAATCCGCATCACAAAATAAATTTTTCATGCTGAGGGAATTTGTCATGCGATTTATACTAGTAAGATACTTTTGCATTGCATATATTGCGTCCCGAACCCGATCAGACACCCTGTGGCGCACTGGATGGTGGTAATGCCAGACACGGTGGAAGACAGCTCCTTCGGCACGACATCGGCTAAATACCCGGACGTGCAGGCAATGACAAGGTTTTTCGCCACCATGGCGCCGCTGAGGGCGATCAGGTAGAGGTACATCGCGAGCTGATCGGAGGCAAAGAATAGCATCGTGTGGGAGGATAGAAGCAGAAACACACCTCCGGCCAGCAGCGGTCGACGCTTGCCCCACGGGTGCCGGGTTTCGTCGGAAATCCTGTTGATTTAATGATGTAAAGCATGCAACACAAATTTACACCTGGAGTCATGCTGGCCAGCCATGAAGTCCTGTTGCGAGTAAATCTAAAACTCCTCATGTTCGTAAGTAACGAAAACGAATATTAAAAGCGGTCTGGCAAAAATCTGCAATGAAAACAGATTGACATTTATGTCTCATCGTGATCGTTGTGAAACGCAAACGATATAAAAAAGCATCGAAATAGTACTTTCCGAAAAAAGGCGCGGTCAAGTGCGTCAGTCCGTAGATCATGCGCTCGAGCACGACAAAGGAGCTTTGCCACCCCGGCGCCATCCGCATCGCTTCTAACGGGATGGTAAACGCAACATAGGTCGATAACACCATCCCGTAGTACACCCAGCAGGAACTGAGGCACCAGATTTTCTATCCTGTGCAAAAGTATCGTACTCTCTCGTAGTAATTGCATTTCTGCATTACAAATCTCTTTTTCAAGGTAAATCAGCATTACAAATTAAATTTGTAATGCTGGGCTAATTTGTCATGCAATTTATACTAGTACGATGCTTTTGCATTGCATATTTTCCATTTAGAGGTGACAAGGTAGGGCGCGAACAGCTTCTTCTGAAAGGCAGTGTTGTGGTATGAGAGTGCACAACTCCCCCTCCCCCTCATTTGTCATGCAAAATACCTAATTTACGCCTTGCCTCTTGGCCCTTTTAGCATGACAAGTTCTGGCAGCCCAAGTAGCACTACAATCCTGTCCAACACCAAACTTGTCATGCAAAACCTGTATTCTTGCTGACGCTTGTATTGCTGTTGATGCAATACAAATGAGGGGGAGGGGGAGCTGTGCACTCTCATATGTGGTCTCCCCAAGCGTCGGCATCATCGTATAATGCGCCTGCTGCTCCTGCACCTCCGTCCAGGTCCAGGCCTTGCTTTGTTGACAAGTGCTGTTTACTCGCTGGTAACAGTTGTTCATGTGAATCTACTTCCATCCGGGGTGTGGAGTTATTCGTGATGTACTTGTCTTTGTCAAGCCAAACCGGTTTTCTCGTCTCTTCTACTGCCCCGGGATGAACTCCTGCACTAGAGAGGAGCCGTGTTTTCTCGGTGGCTTCTTCGTGGTTGTCTCGGTTCATATTGTTCATCATGTTTTTGTTTTGCCGGTCGTCAACGTCATCCGCCACAACGTCTGTCATCATAGGGTACAGCTACTGGCGAGATGGCTAGAAGGAAAACGAACGTAAAACTTAGTGGTGTATTAAAAAAGCGCGTCGTGGGGGGGAGACGGAGAATTCAAGTTACCTTGCTCATAACCCTCATCGTCAAAGTTGCAAAAGCAAAATGTGGTAGAGAAAATGCAAGACAAGGACAAACACAATGTGGTGTCCTGCTCCTGTCTGTTTGGATCGAAAAGGTTGGGTTGAAAATGCAATGCACAGATACAGGAAAATATCATTTTCCAGGTTGTATCAAATACGAATATATACGTTCCGACAGAGTCTCATTTCCGGCACGACGGACAGACCGACTCAATCCTTGTCAAGCACCTCAAACCGACATGACTACGCTACCTATACTAAGGCGCTGAAAAACCGACATCGACAAACCACAAGACGATATCTTTTTAAACAAGAGGTCGCACGCGTACCGAATCTGAACCTAATGCCAATACCTGTAGTCATGTAGCCATCAAACCGAAAATTTCCGAAACCGCAAAGACAACCGAATTTTTTCAAGAGCTGCCAATAGATTGATTTAACTATCCAGCCGTAGGCTGCATGAATAAAACCAACGAACCGATGATTGCTTGCTTTTCTTTTCGAGTCCTAACAAAGTAGTAGTTGAATTCCTCCCTTTCGTGTAAATCAAGAACAGCCCTCCTGCAAGCAGGAGCGGAGATTCGATTTTGTTGTAATGTACGTGACAAATCCGCGAATAAGTATAAGACAAACAGCACGATAACAATCGTCTACCATACAGCGTTGAGGTTCGGCTTCGGGTGTAGTCGTGTTTACAACTGACTGCAAAAAGTTAATGCAGCGCAAGCAGGATGCTCTTCTCTAATTATCGAAAGAAGTAACTCCTTACTTACTTACCGTCGGAACTACTAAGGGAGAGCGCAAGCAGGCGCATACAACGCGAAAAACAAAAAAAACTCGGAATGGACTTTATTACCCGCAAACCACAGCCGTTACCGTTTTATGGAATGCGTGGAGCTATGTACTAAAGTATGCGTATCATGTAAACCAACGACCCGAAAAATGAAAATAAGGGCGGCGGTAAAGGGCCGATTCGCCTTTGCAAAAATATGGTGGAAGTCAACTGAAACTGTGCGAGCGCGACTCCGCTCAAGACTTCCATAACGATCCTTGGCAATCGAATCGAACTTTCGTTGCCTGACTCGACGAAACAAAAGCAAAACTCGTTCGTATTTGTACAAAGAAAACGTATTTGCATATGAGTTCTCTGTGTATTAAAAAAAAAGCACTTCGCCACATCTTCTATTCCTGCTCCCCATTCGCGGTCTTCGCGAGCGCCCGACGCGTGTCCACGGTGTACAGCAGCGCGGCGGAAATCCCACACAGAACCAGGGAGCACATCGCTATCACTTGGTGCCCGCCCTCGGTGTAGCCCGGCTCCCACAAAACTCCATTGAAATCTGCCTTGGAAGTCGGCGGCGCTGTGGTCGAGGCCATGTGGTCGAGCGGTTGTTGCTTCCGGCTTGCCGCCGTAGCCAGCTCCACGGCGGAGTGTTCCTTGTCCTCCGCGCCACCAGGTATTTTAAAATACTGCAAGACCGTCCCGATCATTATGCTGCCGAGGACAAACCCGTAGGTGATGCTCGGGCCGAAAATGCTCATGGCCGCTCCGTTTCCTACCCCGGCCGGAACAAGCTTCAGAGCGAGCCCCATGTCCCCCACCGCCATGCACCCCGTGCCCAGGCCGTACCCGAAGCCGCCCACGTGTACGATCATAGACAAAGTGGATTCCGTTAGCAGCGAACTTGATGTAGGACTGCTGTCCTGTTCCACATAGACGTTCTTGTTGTGCAAGTTCGCGTATTCCGGAGTCAACATGGGTAAGAAAGACAACGTCAGAAATGTCAGCATCATGGCCCCCAGTCCGAGGAAAATTAGCATCTTCTGTGCGTACACCCGACTTGTCAACAGCGTGGCACCCACCGCGACAACAATGATCGCACACTGGCTAATCATGGCGAGGGACGAGAGTTTTTGAATCCCCTCTGCCTTAGTAGGGACATGGAGTGCGTCCCGCAGGTAGAACAGAAACATGCTCATGGAACTGCAGCCGGCGTAAAAGAAAATCCGAACCAGCACCAGATACTGGTAGTCCGGTGAAATGGTAAGCGCGTGCCAGAAAGTGCTCCAAAAGGACGACATATACTGCGAAGCAGCGGCGAGACTGGTGCAGCAGGTGGTGGTATTGGAAGACCAAGAAGCATTTTTATTTTCGCCGTGCTCCCCCTTTGTTTTGTCGACGTTCGAATCCAAATTGTTGTGCTGATCCTGGTGCTGCGTCATCAACTTCTGATAGTGTTCATCGAGTGGCTGCCCTTCTCCAACCGAGTGATGCTCTCGTGCTATACGGGTCTGTTCCTGTTGTGCTCTCCGTTGGTCTACTGCTGGGTGGTCGCGAGGGTTATCATAGTTGTCGCCACTGGCCCCATTCGTCGAATTTGCAACCACCGCGACACTGTTGTAGTGCGTGTACCGCATGTGTGTGTCAATGATGTCTTCCGCGCGGTTGTTCATATAAGCATCAGAATCTTCCGTATCGTCTGTCATGCCGCTGGTTTGCCCGTCGCTGCTGTACCCGCTGCGCTGCAACGTCGGCCCGCGCGAGGATAATAAAGACGGTGCCCGCGTTGAGCGGTCCGCCAGACTGGCGTGGAGGTTGGTGCTGTTGTATCTTGGCTGCCGGTTCGTGTAGTAGTCGTCCGCCGCTTCATTCTGTACTAAGTGGCTGCTCGCAACGGACTCCGTATCGGTCGCCGAATGTTGCGCCGTGGTCGAGGGAGTAATAGGGGTTGATGGTGCAGGAATCCCGATCTCCTGGGTAGTCGTACTTCTAGCACCAGTGTGGGTGTTTTCCTTCTCAAATTCCTGTCGCAACCGCTGCAGGCTCTGCACGTCGCTCGGCGGCTCCGACGCCACGAAGAAGAAAAGCAGGGCGCCAAGCATGTAGAACCCGGTTACGTAGACGTATGTAAACTTGACCGCGGTGGAGGCGAGGAGATATTGCAGCCCGAACCCAATTATGCATTGCAAAAGTGTCGTAGTCGTACTAGTATAAATTGCATATACAAATTTTGGCAAGAAGGAAAGTGGAATTTGTAATGCTGTTTTCCTTAGGAAAAAAATTTGTCATGCATATTTGCAAGTAGTACGAATACGATACTTTTGCACAGGATACCAATCAGACACCCCGTGGCGCACTGCAGTGTGGTAATCCCAGACACGGTGGAAGACAGCTCCTTCGGCACCACATCGGCCAAATACCCCGAGGTGCAGGCAATGATAAGGTTCTTGGCCACCATGGCGCCGGCGAGGGCGAAGAGATACGTGTACATCTGTAACCTGTCGGAGGCAAAAAACAGCATCGTGTGCGAGGCCAGGAGCAGAAACGCACCCGCGACGAGCAGAGGTCGGCGCTTGCCCCACGGGTGCCGGGTCTCGTCTGAAAGCCTGGTGTTGAGACAGATCGTTCGTTGTTGTGCAAATTGGATGTGTTTCGCGTCTTGCAGAGACGAGGCACATGGCATGAAATTGAAATAATATCGCATCGGAATATTAAACAAAAAAAAATCGAAATCAATACTTTCCGAAAAACGGCGCGGTTAAGTGCATCAGTCCGTAGATCACCCGCTCCAGCACAACAAAGGAGCTCTGCCACGCCGGTGCCATCCGCATTGCCTCTAGTGGAATGGTGAACGCAACGTAAGTCGACAGCACCATCCCGTAATACATCCAGACTGCGCAAACGCACCAGATTTTGAATTTCGACGTGATGAGGTAGGGTGCGTACAGCTTCTGCTGAAAAGCCGTATCGTGGTCGCCCAAATCTCCATCTCCATCTGCGTCGTTGTAATTTGTTGTAGGTGCAACATGATTCCGTGTTGCGATCTTCTGTGCTGCCTGCAGGACTACACCCTGCGAAGCGGTAACGTATTTCTCCTTGTCAATCCACGCAGGCTTTCGCGTGGTTTCGCCCGTCGGAGAAGGGAGTAGCTTCGTCTTCTCGGTGATCTCCTGTTGCTGGTTTGCATGGAGACTATTATCTTCCCGCTCGTCCGCGACACCTGCCATCATCATATGCAGCTGCCAGGCTTTTTGCTAAAAGGATATGGAAAAGGATGGAGAAATGAACTAAAAAAGCAAGGATTAAGAGAGACAGCTTCCTTGTGTCCTGGGGAGGACTAATATGAAAACGAATTGTCGTTAGACAAGGAAAATCGCAGAAGTTCATCAAAAATCGAACACCCCCCTGCCCGGGGCTCCCGGGGAATGTAGTTGATTTGCGCGGGCCCCAACCATTTCGCATTTCCCCCCTGCGGAGCCCGCCCCGCCATGCGCTGCCGCTGGCATGTGTGTCGTTTTTAGTTCTCACGCCTGCGCATGTACGAGCCGAAGCGCCTCCGACATTTGCTCTGCAGCCCTGCTCCGGTTCAAAAGTAGGCGCTTAGGAAAGAACAGCCCGAAGGCGTTCGAAGGTGGCGCGCGTTTAAAATCGGTGCCATTGTTCCGAAAACGTTCCGGGGCCCCATTTTTTGTCCTGTCGCAGCGCAGAACGCTTCCACTTTGCCACCTGAATCTTTTGAGCAGCCCGAAGAATGTAGAGCAGCGACATTACATCCACCAGCAGAACCACCCAGAGCCGCAGGAGCAAACGGGCAGCCCCCCAGCCCGTGTCCCCGCCCCGGCCCGGTTGCCGGAAGCGCCGGGCCACATGCGCTCCCGAAGTCCGCGCACCCCTGTCGGAATTCGCCGGCAAGGCCGGCCGCGATACCAGTGGCGCGGGCCGGCGCGATGCGTTTTGCGCATGCGGCCTCCGTCCGGTAGCCGAAGACACCCCGAACGCCTCGCCCCTGTTCTGGAAAGTTTTTGGGAGATGCAAAAGCGCGCGGCCTTGTGCCCGCATTGGCTGCGAAGACGAGGCGGCCCGCCGTTCTTTTTTCCAAAAGCGTGCGGCCGTGGGTGTCTTGGGACATGCTTGCCCTGGGAATATAGCGGGCATGGGGGCAGCAAAACAAAAAAGGCGAGAAGGGAAAACCGGGAGGAACTCCTGTCCGAAGGCGAAGCCGGGGGGCCCCTCAGGGGGGTGCTTTGGGGGGGTACTTTTTTGGGCGCGGAATTCCCCAGTTTCAGGTGGAGGAAAGGCTTGCCAAGGGGGGTGCTTTTTGGGGGTGTTTTTTTTTGTGAAAAAGGGGGCCCCTTTGGCTGCCCGGCCGGGGCCCCCGGCGGCCGCGGAAGCAGCTCTTTTCGCTTTTGGCCAAAGAGAACGCCGGCGGCCCCGGGGCCACGCCGGGGCGCGCCAGGCTGCTCCCTTCGGACCGGCCGCCGCCCCGGCCGCCAGGCAACGCTTCCGGTCGCAGCGAAGGCGGGCTCAGGGCCGCGCGCTTTTGAATCTGCCAGAAGCTTTCCAGAACTGGGGCGAGACGTTCGGGGGGCCTCCGGCCATCGGACGGTGGCCGCACATGCAAAACGCACCGCATCGGGCCACGCCACTGGTATCGCGGCCGCCCCGGCCGGCGATTTCCGACAGGGCCGCGGCGCTTTCGGTGACGCCTTTGCCCGGCGCTTCCGACAGCCGGGCCGGGGCGGGGAAACGGGCTGGGCGGCTGCTGGTTTGTTTCTGGCGCTTTGGGTGGTTCTGCTGGTGAATGTGGCGGTGCTGCTCTACATTATTCGGGTTGCGCGAGCGATTCAGGTGGCAAACTGGAAGGGCTCCGCGCTGCGACAGGACAAGAAATGGGGGCCGGAAACGTTTTCGAAACAATGCGACTCATTGTAAACGCGCACCACCTTCGAACCCCTTGGAGCTGTTTTCTCATGGACGCGCGCCTTTGAATCGGAGCAAGACTGTAGAGCAAGTGCTGGGATCGCTTCGGCTCGTACATGCGCAGGCGTGAGAACTAAAAACGACACACATGCCAGCGGCAGCGCATGGCGGGGCGGGCTCCGAAGGGGGGAAATGCGAAATGGTTGGGGCCCGCGCAAATGAACTATATTCCCCGGGAGCCCCGGGCAGGGAGGTGTTCGATTTTTGATGAACTTCTGCGATTTTCCTTGTCTAATGTCGGTCTTTAGCAAGATATGCTCGCGAGATGCAGCGACTCGATCTAAAAATAAAGTCAAATTTGTTGCACGGAAACACAATTACTTATTACGACGCTATCTCTTTAACGGGTTCCGCAAACTTCGCGCCCACCTGTGTGTGAAGAACAAGAAAAGAGAAATATCCTTGGTTTGAGGAGATGGCCAGTGGGATCAGGGCGACGACAAAGCGAAACCAAATTGACGAATTGCTGTACGGTATAGTTGAGCAGTAGGCCACCTAGATTGTCATTGTACGAGTTGCGCCGACGAAGAAAAGCCTTGTGGAAACGGTCACGGTACGAGTGGAAGTACGAGCGTACACATAATGATGGTCACGCACGACAGAAAAGCAACTGCAACATCACCGACGAGAGCTACACCTACATCACTCAGCGCTTGCCTTTCATAAAGAAATACTCACATGCACGAACAACGAAAATCACGAACGACAATCAAAGACTACCAAGAGGACGCCGTTAGGGAGCCTGCTGAATTCCGAGGACCGATAATTAACTTCGTGCTCTCTAGAAAGATACGAAAGGAACGCAGCGTAGTACTGGCAAGCAACCGAGCTTTCGTTGTACCCTCGTTTAGGGAGGGTGGAAAAGAAATAACCGGCAAGGAGCGAATAATTGCAGCCAGGTGGATTGAATATCAACACGTCACAATTGCAAAACAGGCGCGACTAAAATAGGGGCATCCTTGGGACGCTGATTTTCTTGTCGACATGAACACGCAGCACCTGCCTCCGGCACTCTGACTGCTGAGCCGACTGGAACATGTCCTGCCGGTCGTCCCGGTCTCTCTCTGCTCACCACATTAAAATTTTTGATAAAACGACGCGCGGCTTGGCCGTCAGAACCCCGCGGCACAGACGGACATACACTTCCGGCGCGCCGCCGAAACCGGGGGGCACGACTCCCCCCCCGCAGCTAAGGGGCGGCTTGCATGTCCAAGCGCCCGCTAGATGATGCACTGGCCACGCGACAACGCCGGCGCAGGCATGCAACAAAACTAAAAACGCGAACAGGGAATCGCCCTGCCAGCCCCAGCGGAACAGGCAACCGCGCCACCACGTGGGCGCGCCCCATGGCCACAGACCCCAGGCAGCAGCTGCTTAACTAACAGGCGGCGCACACAGCGAGCGCGGCTCGTCGCGGGCCCGCGTTTGCAGGGCTTCGGCCGCCCTGCTGGGTGGCCCCGCGGGACAATCCACATGGCCGCCGCTGTTTTTCCCTCGCGGGCTGCCGCTGCCCCCGCGCACTGCGTCGAACGGGCGGAGGTACCTGCGCCGTGAAATTTCATCCCGGCCTTCATCAGTCCCTGCGCGAGGAAGCTGCCGCGGTCGAATTGTCCGGCTGCGGGCCCCTCCCGAAAAAATCCCCTGTGGTCGGACGAAAGGCCCGGGCGCCTCCGGGGGGCGTCTTGCTTTCACCAGCGGAGCGCCTGCGCGTCTCCGAAAGCGCCCGAAGCCGGCGAAGCGCGGTTTCTTGGCCTTTTCGGGCGATCGGGTCTCGCGCAGGGGCTGCCCGGTCCATTGCGGATCGACCGCGTCCCGAGCCGGGAGGGCGCCGGCCTTGGATGGTCGCCCGCGCCCCCTGTCTCGTCACGATCTCGCTAGACATTACGCCCCCTTTTAGCGGTTTGACCGCACCGGCCGGCGCCCGCAGCGGATTGTCCATGATTTTCAAGCCACAACCTAGACGAGGAAGATTGGATTTGTGATCGGAGTAATGCAAAAATATCCTGGTCCTCTCTGCTTTCGCGTTTCATGAAAATAATCCCGGTCAACTCCACACGACACTCCAGTCACTGCACTATCACGCACCACTCGTTCTCCCTCTCAATGTACACCGCACCCACGGAACAGCCCCCTCCGGCGCGGAAGAAACAAACCTCCTCCAACAACTAAGTATTTCAATACTGCGCTGGCATACGTTGTTGCGCCCTCGACTCCGATGGACTCCGGCTTCCCAGTGGCGAACATATCAGACATGGGCCCTACAACTAGACGTGGGGACTGATGCGCCCGTAGCTGGTGAGACGTTTAAGCACATGCAGTGTACTCAGATGCAGAGGGAAATACTTCGATACGGCCGGGTGCGTCATGTGAGCGGGGGATGAACCTGCGACCCCCAAATGCGGGGCGGCCTGGATCGATGTTCAAGCGCCCGCCCGCGGTTCTGGCCGCGCCGCATGCATCCAGCGCCAGTGCGGCGACACAGCAGCGCGGACAGACAGTCAACCCCAGGCAATTAGCAAGCGGGCCAGCGGATCAGGCCGCCACTGGCTGGGGCGCGCCGCGTACGCGTGCGCGGCAATTTCAAGCAACACGGCAGGAGGCGGCGGGCAAAACCGGCCCGGCGTATCGCGTTGGATGGTTCGCAGGGCCTGCGAAGTGCCCCCCCCGGCGCGGGCGCGCGGCGGAACGGCGCCGCGCTGGGGGCTTCCAGGTGCTCGGGGCTTTTGCGTGCCAGGCGAACGCCGCCCGACTGGGCTCCCGGGAAGAGTTCCGCGCCCAGCTGGGTAACGCGAAAGCCGGTTTTCTGCGTGTCCTTGTTAGCGCACAGGAATCGAGCCGCGCCCTCTTCGATTATGTCCTGCACACTGAACCGCTCCACCGGAAAGCCCGCACGCGCCGCCGTGTGGAGATCCGGCACCGATTCCCGCCCCGCAGAAGTCCTCGGCGAGCACCAAGCTTCCTGGTTTTATGTCCCGGTGGAGGAGCTTGAGCGTCTTCAACATCAACACCGCCGCCCACTGCTAAAAAATAAAAGCAAAAATAGGACGTCCTGGTCTTCATGAAAAAAAAACTCGGCTAACTCGAAACGCTGCGCGAGTCACTCCTTTCTAACACACGCGCACGCTCTCTCTCTCTCTCTCTCTCAACAAACGCCGCAGCCGCTGCGCAGCCCCCTCTTCGGAAGATAAAAAAACTTACTTCAGTTCTACGCTGGCATACTTTCCCCTACCCTCGTCTCCGACTCCGCCTTCCCAGCACTGGCGAACATATCAGACATGCACGCGGGTTCCGCAACTCTAGGTCGGGCGATGGGCTCCGGTGCTGGTGAAAATAGGCGATCTATCTTCCACACCTCTTACGGAACGTTATTTCAACCTCAAGAGAAAAGAAAACGTACATCGGGAGCTGCGCTACCAAAGCTCTTTTTTCATTTTGTGGAAAAGAAAAGCACAATACGAATATTGATATTCAGCTTGATGTGAGGACAAATTGTTACTCGTCAAACAGATCCTGACCCAACACCACCACTGCCACCCCCCGCAGAGGAGCTACCAAATATAGCCGCCGGGGCGGAGGTAGTGAGGTCGTGGGCGTTTTCTTGCCGGCCATCGCCTTGGCCGCGGCTTTGCTTTTTCTGGGCTCGCCATACCGCCGGGAGTAACGTTAGGCCGCACGGTATGGCGGCCGCTTGATAAACATCGCAAATTTTGGCAAATTACCGAAATTCCTTTCCGAAGGACAGCCCCCATGCTATGGGGCCGATCCGGGTGCCACGGGGGGCGCCCAAAAAGCGAAGGAAAATCGGGCCCATAGCATGCGGATTGGCTTTGCGCGCCTGGGGCGCTTTTTCTTTTTCGCGTTTTTATTTTTCACGCCGGCGCCTTTTGCAAAGCTTCCCAGGCTCTGAAACCGGCGAAAAGGCAGCCGCTTTCGCGGCCGCCCAAAATGCTCCGAAATCGCGGCCGTGCCGTGCTGTTTCGCTGTTCTGATTTTGGGCGCGTTTTTTGCGCGCCCCTTTTTGGGCGCCCCAAATCGCCAGAAACCAAGGCGGCGGGCGCCTCAGAAGGGCGCCCCTTTTGCCGGCTCCCCTGCGTCGTTTTATCAAGTGCGAGTCGATAGTTTTCGACCGGGCTTGTTTGACGGCAAAGCCCCGTCCGCTTGATAATTAAAAAATTTTTATGTCAAAAAACGCCTCCGGCCGCTTGAAAACTGCCGGTCGTTTTTCAGGGTAGCTGTCAAAAAAACTCCCTGGTTAGAACCGTTCGGTGACCTCACTACATACTACCCAATTTCACCGCCATTCCCCAGTTTTTCGCGACCCCGAGGATGATCGCCTTCATCTCGTTCGACAAAACATATTCAATGCACAAGAAGTATCGTACTCGTATAAATGCATTACAAATTTCCTCTGCCTGTGTGAGAAATGATATTTCTAATGCGGTTTTACCTTGAAAAAGGAATTTGTAATGCATGATTGCAATTACTACGAGTACGATAGTTTTGCACAGCATAAAACATCCGAAGCGGTCAAATTCACGAAGTATTCCACCGGATTACTCAAAGTCTTGTGTTCGTTTTCCGAGAATTTCGCCATTTATCATATGTAAAAACGTCCCCACACCAGAGTCAAGGTGGGAACTTAGCAACACAAATCCAGAAGTTTTGGAAGTCACGCATGACAAGTTGCAGTCCGTAGTGTAGTGCAAGTTAGCAACGACAACCGCATCACAAATCCATCTGCTTATCCTGTTTACAGCATTACAAATTCCAAAACACGATTGGAAACGCCCCTGAAGGAGATGCGCATTACAAATCTTCCTGTATGTAATCGCAAATCTGCATGACAACTCTGGGGTGGGGACATTTTTACTCAGGATACCATTTTTTTCTCGATCAGTGGCTTCGCTTCCTCCCAATCCGTCTCGAGTTTGCGCACCCGCTCCCGCACAGAGAGCGACGACCCGGTGGCGGTGTTATTGGCTTGGCCCGTTTCTGCTGATGCTGTGGTTGCGGTTCCATTGGAAGAAGTAGAAGTTGTAGAGCTATTATTCTCTCTAGAAGTAGAAGTTGTACTTGTCGGCGCCACTTTCTCCTGTAAACCCTGGGTTTGGTTGATCATTTGATCGAGTCGCGGGCTGCGGCGGTCCAACTCCTGCCAAAACGGCGCATTTTTAACAGTGCTTCCGCCGCCACCAGAAACGGGAACATCAAGAGGGGTCGCGACAACTACAACGCTGGCATTATTTGTGCCTGGAGCAGTAGCTGTCGTGTTTTGATCCGCCCGCGCACTCGCAAACGTCCGCGCGAAGAGCGCGGAGGCGAGGAGGTTCGCATTCGACGCGACACTTGTCTGCACCTTCGCCAATTCCTGCTCGGTCTCGGTCGCCTTAGCCTGCAAAACGTTGAAATTGTTCGAAACAGCTGTTTTCATCGTTGCTGCCTGCTGCCCAATAGCTGAGCCCGAGGATCCACCAAAAGAGGTCGAACTGACGTCCAGGGGCGTTGCCACTTTTCTCCGAAACAAATTCAACCTGGATTGCAAAGTCTCCACGTTTGCGACTAGTCTTCCATAATTTTTCTCCAATGATTTTTCCCGTCTGACGATCGACAGGTATAACTTCGACGGATTGCATCTCGCTTTCGACACCACTTCGTCACCGCTTATCCTGTGCAAAAGTATCGTACTCGTACTAATCGCATGTATGCAAGACAATTTTTTTATGTTAAGGCGAGTCCGCATTACAAATTTCCTTTCTCATGCTGAGAAAATTTGCCATGCGATTTATACTAGTACGATGCTTTTGCAGTTCATACCGCTGGCGCTGCAGCGAAATTCGCCGATCGCGTCGAAACCTGTGATGCAGGTGATGTTGCACGCCTCGCCGCTGTTGATTTGCTGGCAGTTAAAATTCGTCGCGTTGGCGGGGGATGTCAAGTTCGCGCAGGTTTTCCGCAAGCAGGACCCCTGTTCCGTGAAATTCGACCCGTCGGAATTTACCGTGAATTTCCCAACCACGGCGTACCCGAGATTGCACTGGTGTTGACACGTTGCGTTCGAAGAAACAGACGCGCAGGGGAAGGGGAGCGCGGCGTTTTCTGGCGGGATGGCGGATAATTGCTTCCTCACGCATATCCCACGAAAAAAGTTTTACAGTTAAACATTTGTTGTCAATTCACCAACACAAATTTCTCTGCATGAGAGAGAAAAATTGCAATGCAGAAATCCTAAGGGAAAACGCCTATGAAACGAAGCTCCTATGCATATCCGGCATCAAAGAGCTGGTCTGTCTTGCTTGGCCTGCAACACAATGCAACTCCTGTAACACTTTTTTCTTGCGATAACGCAGGTCGGAACGGTAGTGACGTTGGTCGCGTCTTTGTTACAGACGAAAAGATTGCTCGAAGATGTAGTTCCATTCGCGACATTTGCTCCTGTACTAGATGGCATGTATCCCTCCGCACAGGTCAGGGTACAATTCTCCCCGCTGGGTATGGTCTGATATTACAGTGAAAAGTGCCCCCCACCCCTGAAATTGCAATAATTTGTGATGCAAAGTTTCCAAATGAAAGGTTTTTGTCATGCATAAAAGGAGTATGAATCTTTGTGATGCAGAGTCTAGGCGTGTGTCGCAGCGCTTGCATGACAAGCGCCGCTTTTGCTGGGATCTTTTGCAATACAAATTTTTGCTATTCACGATTGGAAATCTGTGATGCTGATACATGCAAGAGGGCGAGTGTTTCATTTCGAAAGGTTTGCAATACAAATGCTTACAAGTTCGGGGGTGGGGGCATTTTTCATTGCAATATCTGACACCAGAAATTCAGTGCGTTCGCGGGCGGGACAATCCCCTGGCAGTACTGCCGTTCGCAGGAGGCCATTTCCGTGATGTTGTTGCCCTCACTGTTGCAAACGAATTTCCCTTTGGCTTTGTAACCGACCGCGCACTGCAGCCGTTTCGTCATTCCCGCGGCGAGCTTTTTACCAGTGGTGTTCCAACTGACGCTGTTGTTCGGCTTCGGGATCATCGGACAGAAATTCCGACTGCAGGAGCCAAGCGTGATCAAGTGCGTCGCATCACTGGCACACTGGTACTGACCAGAAGGGGTGAAGCCGGTGGAGCACGTGAAATCGCTGCAGGTTTGGTTTGAGGAGAGAACACCGCAGGATTTTGTCGCATTAAGAGTGGTAAAAGAACTGCAGTTGAGCCGAACGCAACTTGGCTTTTCAAAGATTTTCCCATCAGCCCCGCACTTCATATGCATTGCAGAAGTATCGTACTAGTATCAATTGCATTACAAATTTTCTCAGCCTGAAAAATTGAATTTGTCATGCTGTTTTACCTTGGAAAGAACATTTGTCATGCATAACTGCAATTCGTATCAGTGCGATACTTTTGCACAGGATACTTCAGACTGCCGGTGGATTTGTACCCCGGGTTGCATTCCAGCTCGAGTGATTCGTTGGCAAAGAGGCGGACGGCGTTGTTGGAGAAGGAGGTGTTTAGAAAGGGGAGGGATATTTGCGGGATGGCGGTTGATAAGGATTTGATCAGGTCAGTGGTTTCATCAGCTGCGCCTCCCTCCGACAATACTCTGCAGGTAGTTTTTTCGCATCTGCCGACTTCCAGCAGGCTGGTCACGTTGTTGGCATCGACCGCTGAGCAAACGAATTTTCCGCTCTTCGTAAACCCGGTGTTGCAGGAAAATTTGTCGCAGGACTCCCCGGGTTTCAACGACCCACACTCCGAGCTCTTCGCATGCAGCATGAGAGTGCACAACCCCCTCTCTCCCTCATTTGTCATGCGAAATACCAAATCGAGTTCGAGCCTTTTCCCTTTGGCACTGCTTGCATGACAGGTTATGGAAGCCAAAACACCACTAGAATCGGGCGCAAATTTCTCATGCAAAAGCTGCTTTATGCCAGCACTTGTGTTGCTGCTTATGCCCTTCAAATGAGGGGAGGGGGAGTTGTGCACTCTCATATGCAGGGGGAGAACGAGACTGCTGCAGTTCTGCTTGCTCCCTTGTTCAACATCCTGCTTCATCGCAGTCACGCATTTCAAGCCCGCCGGCCCTTCAAGTTGCAGAGAAGCGGGATTGCACGTCAAGCTGCCCGTCGCGACGAAGCCCGTGTTGCACACCGGGTCGCAAGTCTGGCCAGCGGCTAGCGGGTTTTTCGTGTCACAAGACGAGAAGGACCCTTTGATGCTGGAAGAAGATTTATTTATTTCCACGATCGTGCTGTTCGCATTCTCGATTTTCCCGAGCGCACTGACGATTGCCGCGGCCGGGCAAAACTTTCTCTTGCACTGCCCCCGTGTGGACAACCCCGTGGCCTCTCCGTTGGCTCCAGATGATCCGCAGGTGAAGGCGCTTACTTTTTCAAACCCGGCTGCGCACGTGAAGTCGGAGCAAGAGGTTCCCGCTTTCAAAGTCGAGCCACAGGTAAAGGTCGCCGCGTTTGCCGGGGCGTGGATGTTCTCGCAGACGGTCGGATCCGGGGTAGAACTTGCTGCGGTCGAACTTGCGGTAGCGTTGTCTGTGAGCAGGGTGTTCTGGCGCCGTCGAAAAGTTCTTCTACTCGTCTGCAAGCGCACACTAGACCGGCCCTGGACCACGCCTAGCTCTACTTTCTGATCGCGAAAATGCTGCAGCCTCCTCTGCAATGAAAGCGCTGAGGCTTCTTGTCCAATATCTCTACTGAAGCCCGCGACCCACACCAGGACCAGCGCCCGCCAACCTCCTCGCAGCATGGTTGCCCCTTCGCTGCGGTGGACAACCACGCTGGAACAGGAACTCACCGCGGCTTCATCGTTCAGGTCACATCCGAATCCATTTTGAGAGATCCTCTATCTGCAGCAATGAAGCACAAAATCTATCACGCAGAAAGATACGAAAAGAAAAAAACGGGAAAGATCATCTCTCAGATGTTGAAGCGCTCACGCATCAAACCGGCCGTTCTCGTCGTTGTTCTCATGCCCCTCGATTTCATCGCAGTTCAGCATCAAGAACAGAACACGACTGCCTTCTATTCAAAGTTCGGCGCAACACGACAAAAATTCTGTGTCGTGCATGCAGCCTTAGCTCCTGGAAGCAGGAGCGCGAACGCTCTCCGTTCAGTAAATTTTCTATGCACGTACTGCTATGATCGAAAAACTGCGTGCGCTAGCGTTCCTGTGACTTTCGCTTCTTGGTTCATCTTGATGTGCTGCGATAATTCACGGTGGAATCACTTGCTCATGTGCCAGTTACTTCATACATCGTTCCATTACAAAATAATGTCGAACCACTTGTAGTGAAGCTTTATCGTCTTCGGATTAAGAAGAACCTCCAACTGCGCTTTTATTCTAGTCCGAGTCGGAGTCAAAGCTCATCTGGACCTTTTTCTTGCTCAACTTTTCCATTTCCTCGGCTGATTTGAAAAAATCTCCGTACATACCGTGCGATTTTTTCTTCGTCGCTGTGAAAGTGTTGGCGTTCAGTTTCTTCAATTCATCCGGCACCGGCTGCTTCGCGCCTTCCAACAGGCGGATGATGTCGAAGCCTGTGTTTTGCAATTATTCAAAATGAGAATACTTACTAACCTCCTATTGCATTTCATCATTATTGATGTTTGCGCCGCATCAGAACACGCTTGTGGCAAGCCGATTTGGATTTCGTAAATTTTTCAGCCAAAAAAAACGCCAAAATCAATAGCAATACAGTGCTCCCGTTCTTTGTGCTCCCCCGTTGTGTTGAAAAACGTAATTGCCTGTCCGGTCCTGCCCGCCCGTCCGGTTCGCCCGCAGCGGTGCACGAAGTCTTCGCAGGTGAGGGGGAAAGTGTAGTTGATTACCATGTCAATGTCCTTAATGTCCAAGCCGCGCGCCGCGACGTCCGTGGCGACGAGAAGGCGGCAGACGTCTGTTTGGTTTCATAATTCGGTTTTTGTGTCATCATCATCATCATCATCATCATCATCTGTGTGTTTGTCCTTGACATTAGTCTCTGTCGTTATCTCATCCTGTTGTGAGTGGACGTACACTCGAGCACAATTTATGTGACAGTCTTGTCATAGATAACGGTTTTTGTGTTTATAGATAAAAATGAATAGAATTTCTCATGCTGTTGTGTACATCACGAAAACTTTGGATCTTAACAAAGTAGGTCCACCTACATCCGCAGTACATGACAAAAACCACCAAGAAAACCCAATTCTAGTACTCTTTTTGAAATCCTCAATCGCTTTCGTCCGCTTGTCCTGCAGCATGTCGCCCTGCAATGCGACGATTTTGTGGCCCTCTTGCCTCAACCAGTTTTCCAAATTCGCGACTTCCTTCTTGTACAAGCCAAAGATCAAAATTTTTTTGTCCTTGTTCTCCTTCAGTGTCTTCGTCAACAACCCGTATTTCTGCCGTCCGTCCGGTAGTATGTGGAACTTTTGCTTGATCGCGTCGTTTAGCTGCAATTTGTATCCTGTGCAAAAGTATCGCACTCGTAGTAATTGCTGTCATGCATTACAAATCTAACTTGCTACCTTGCCGAGCATGACAAATTGCAGATTTGTTCTTGGCAAAATTTGTGATGCGATTCATACTAGTACGATACTTTTGCAATGCATAATTTATCCTCCGTGTTGATGTTATCCGGGTCGTCGATCGTTTGCCCCTTCCGCAAAATCGTGATCGTGACCGCTTCGTCGCGCTTCTCGCTGCTGGGGAGTAAGCCCCGCGCGAGCTTGTTCACCTCCATCGGCCAGGTGGCGGAGAAGAGCACCGTTTGCCGGTGCTTTTGTTTGTCTTCGTTTGTGCAGTAGTCCGCGATTTTTCGGATGGATAGGATAAACCCGTCGTCCTATCCTAAGCAAAAACGTCCCCACCCCATAGTCAAGATGGCGTTGGGAATCTAGCAACACAAGTCTCCAGGTTTTGGGAGCTGTGCATCACAAATTTCCCTCTGCCGTGTAGTGCTGATTGGCAAGAGAAGCCGCATGAGAAAGCCATTTTCACATCCTGTTTAAAGCATTACAAATTGCAAAACAAGATTGGAAATTCCTCTCATGGAGCTGCGCATTACAAATGTTCCTGTCATTGCACATTTGTATGACAACTCTGGTGTGGGGACGTTTTTCCTCAGGATACGTCCAACATGCGGTCGGCCTCGTCCAACACCAAGTATTCGCATTTGGATAGGTTCAAAACCTGGTCGTTCTCGACCAAATCGAGGAGTCTCCCGGGGGTGGCGATGACCAAATCGCACGCGGATTTCTTAATTTTATTCACCTGTTCGTATTTCGGCACGCCACCGATAATGCAGTGGACGGTGAGCTGTAAATCCAGTTGCTTCGTGAATTCCTCCGCCACTTCGGCGATTTGCTGGACCAATTCCTTGGTCGGCGCGAGACAGACCATGGAGGGGTAGTGGTGCTTCTTCTGCTTCTTCTTCTCTTCCCCGTTCTGGACCGCTAGTTTGTGTTCCTGCAGCCGCTTCGCAAGATACGGCAACACAAACGCGAGGGACTTTCCCGAACCGGTCTTCGCGATTCCGAAAACGTCCTTCTTCTCCATGATCAGCGGCCACGCCACCGCCTGAATCGGGCTGGGCTTGCCGTCCTTCCCGAATTTCTGCTCGCAGAGATTCGCAACCTCTTTCGGAAGACCGGACTCGCAAAATTTCACGGCGGGCTTCGGGGCGGGGCAACCAGTCACGGTAATGTTGTGCTCCGCGTAAAAGGGGTGGGAAGAGTGGTCTGCTTGGCTACTTTTTGAAGCTGCTGCTGGAACTACAACTTCTGCTGTTGCAGTTTTCTTATTTTCCGCCGTTTCAACAACATCAACATCTCCTGTCGTGTCTTTGCTCTTCTTTTTCTTCTTTTTTTTCTCTGCAACGACCGGCTCTTCAACAGCAGCGACTACTTCCTCCTCCGTAGTTGGGGAGCCAGCGGCTGTTGCGGTGGTGCTAGTTTCCTCGGTACCAGCTGGGCTGCTGTCTTTATTCTTCTTTTTCTTTTTCTTCTTCTCGGTAGTAGAGGCAGGTGCGGTTTGTTCACTTTCAGCAACCTTTGGCTCCTCAACCGCGACTGCCTCCTTCGCTTCCGTCTTCTGCTTCTTCTTTTTCTTCGTGACGCCCTCGGCGCCAGCGGCGCTGTCGGCCGATCGCTTTGAAATCTTCTCCGCCATTTTTTTGGAAAAAATTTGACTGCAGCTAGAGGGTTGTTTTTCTTTTCTTACTTTGTTATATTCAACAGCGGTGCAGTAGAACAAACGATCGATAATGAAATCTACTTGAATGCGTCGTGCTGCGAGGTCATGTATTGGTTGAAAAGATGTTTACTTTGCACAAAATAATGCCTGAACAACACTTCCGAGATCTTGTGCAGAGGTGAAGGCGAGTTTCTTTTCAAGCTTGCTTCTCACCTTTTACTGGATCATCGTCTCTGTGACCGTGAAGAGCCTTTGCTTGTGGATTATGATTTCGCAACCAGAACCACGACACAATTTTATATTTTCTCTTGAACTGTTCCGAAGGAAGTGTCAAATCATGCTCCTGCTGGATCCCGCTTGTTCAGAGATCTTGGTTTTCGGGGTGATCTGAGTGCAGCTACTTCTAGCAAGGATCGAGGACTAGCTGCATTTCATTTTCATACTCATACATTGATCCAGAACCTGGAAATAAGGGCCATTCCAATTACGAGGACTGCTTTCTACTATGCAGCACCTTCTTCAGCGGAAGAGCTCTTTCAGAACCCACAGATTTACAAATCTCGCTTTCATCAAGAACCAGAAATGCTCAACCTACTCGCAGTTACTGTTTCAGCTTCTGATACTATTCTCAACAGCGTGCCGATCGTCTGGTTTTGGTCCTTTTTCGTCGGTGTCATCGAATCTAATTCAGAATAAAAAGGATGTTGTCCTCTAATGTGACCTGGTGCAAAAATCGAATCGACTGTGCTTCCGCGACAAGATAATCATCCTTTGTACAGGTGACATTTCATCGATACAAATGATACAGGTGAATAATATGAGTCGAATCAGGACGGTGTCACACTTGTTCATCGGAGAAGGTTCGTACAAATGGGTAGTACTACTCTTTTTTTCTGGCTTGAGTTTTTTACCTTGACACAATAGTCTACTAACTTGGGTTCTTGTTGTATCTGTTCCTCGATCTCGATGTGTACTTCTATATGAAGATCCTGGTGCCTCACATTATTCATAATCGAAGCAAATAAATACCCACCTACTCGTCCTCTCCCGCCTCTGGTGGTGCAGTGATCGCACCGACCTTCTCGGACAGGCCTGCCCAGCGCTCGCCCAGCGGCACCGCGGTCTCCCCCACCGGGAGGATTTTGGTGACTGTGGCCTGCGCCGCCTCCAGCTCGACGCGAAGCTCGTCGACCTAAGTAAAGTAGGTTCTTGTTTTGCTGGCTCTTTCTTTCGAAGGGACCAACGTAACAAGGAGCGTACTTAAGAGTAAAAATAGGCCAGCAGTTAGTTGTGGCCAGCACGACTATGCATTGATAATACTGGAATCTGAACTCCTGCTGCAGGTTATGCATGACAAAAAAATCTTTATCAATACCAATGTCACCGCCTGCTCTTCCTGCTTCGTTCTCTCTTCCGTTACTTCCTCCACTGGCTCCTCAAGGGCAGTCTTTAGTTCCTCGTACGCGGTCACTTTTTCTTCCAGAGTCGCCATCCTCGCATCAAGGTCCACACGGGCCTCGGCCGAGGATACCAGGTCCGGGCTGATGATCTGTGTTTTTTTGGATTAGTATCAAGCGTTTTGGTATGCATTTTTGCAACATGCATGGATGTTCAGCTCGCATGACAAACCCAAGTACTAAACTCTTCGTCTTCCCCAGGGTCCTCGTACTAGTACACACGATATTGTACTACCTTGACATCCGCCTCAATCGCTTCACTGACTGCGGTTTTCAGTGCTTCGAGGTCGAACTCCTCCTTCAATAAAGTTTCACTCAACGCATCCCGCTTCTCCCATCGCGTGTTCGTGTAGGCGACTAGCGCTTCGCGCGTCTCTGTCAGTGCCGTCTCGCCGTATGGTAACGCGGCATACCTAGACACAGGAGGCATTTATTTTCTTTTTCTTTTACTTGGTTCTTTATAATACTTGGTTCTTTATAATTGCCATTGCGCTGCAAAAGACGAGCAGCCGTTCTGTTTTCGTGAAACAACATTTAGCACCCTCATTCTCATATGCGAAAGTAACAACTGATAATATTCAACTGATTCTGCATCCGCTACGGGTACTGCTGCGCCAACCAAGCCCAAATCGATGAAGCATCCACATGAACATCTTCAAAAACTTTATACCATTCCACGACCTTCGTAAAGTTTTCCTTGTTCATTTCAATGGACTTCGAACACTCCTCCTTATAGCCTTCCCATTTCTGGGTGGTTGCCTCGGACGTGCCCACTTCCTCCTTGGATAAATCCACAAATTTCGGCCCCATGCCCGTGTCCACCTCGATCAGGTATCCTGAGTAAAAACGTACCCACACCAGAGTTGTAATGCAAATCTGCATGCTGAAAATGTTTCTCATGCGGAGCCCCATGAGAAGCATTTTCTAGTCGTGTTTTGCAATTTGTCATGCTCCAATCAGCATGGTATGCTAGATCTGTGATGCTGCTAAGCTAGCTCAAACAGCACTACACTACGAATCCAAATTTGTCATGCAAAACAGCCAAAACTTGTGGATTTGTCTAGCCGATTTCCCATCTTGACTATGGTGTGGGTACGTTTTTACTCAGGATATCAGGGGCTCTTTCTCTAGCGTGTCGTAGAGAAATTTCAGCTATGGATTGTAAAAATATCTGGGTCTGGAAGATTCTGACACTTGTCATGCAGATTTTCCATGATCCATGTCATCTGGAGTGCAGGACCTAGCATGACAGATTCTGCGGGATCCCTATCGCTATCATGCCTATCCTGCATGAGAAACTTCCTCTCAACTTAGTGGGCAACTTTTGGCATTCATGCAACACAGATTTTTGCATCATCCAGAATTAGCATCACAAGCTCCAACCTTCCAGACCCAGACATTTTTACATTTGATATCAACATGTGCGGGTTCATGTGCCCATCCTTGGATAGGGAGTGTGTGTATTTTTCCTCGATTTTCTGCGCGTTGGTTTTTGGCGGATCTTCTGCTTCCGTAGATTCGGCCGTGTCGATGTTGCACATAAACACGGCTTCGTATTCCCTGTTTGTCATATTTTCACAATAGGCGTGGGCCTGCGGGCCTAAATTCCGGTGGGTTGGTCGGTTGGTTGGTTGGTTTTGGACAGACGACATTTGACCCACCGAACCCGCTACATTGTGTTTTGTGTTTTTCTGAGATTCATCCACTATTACTGCCGCAGCTGCCTACCTACCCACCTACCAGGCGTCTTTTCGATTCATTGCAATACCATGATCGCACCGGCCCACCTACCTACCTATGCGTGCCTTTCCACCCAGAGCCGGCTGCCTACTGGTCACGCCTACCGACCTACCCACCCACCTGGTGGGTAGGTGGGGCGAGGGAGCGCGCGCTGCTTATTGGCCACGCCTACCGACCTACCGGCCCACCAGCCTGGTGGATGGGTGGGGCGAGGGAGCGCGCGCTGCCTATTGGCCACGCCCACCGACCTACCCACCCACCAGCCTGGTGGGTGGGTGCGGCGAGCGTGCGCTGCCTATTGGCCACGCCCACCGACCTACCCACCCACCTCGCTGGTGGGTGGGCGGGGCGAGCGTGCGCTGTCCCTTGGCCACGCCTACCGACCTACCCACCCACGGGCCTAGTGGGCGGGTGGGGCGAGCGTGCGCTGCCTATTGACCACGCCTACCGACCTACCCACCCACCTCGCTGGTGGGTGGGTGGGGTGAGCGTGCGTTGCCTCTTGGCCACGCCTACCGACCTACCCGCCCACCTGCCTGGTGGGTGGGTGGAGCAAGCCTCCGCTGCCTATTGGCCACGCCTGCCGAGCGACCGGCCCACCCACCAGGCAGGTGGGGGTCTGAGACGAGCGCGCGCCGCCTATTGGCCACGCCTACCGACCTTTCCACCCACCAGCCTGGTGGGCGGGTGGGGCGAGGGAGCGCGCGCTGCCTCTTGGCCACGCTTACCGACCTACCCACCCACCAGCCTGGTGGGTGGGTGCGGCGAGGGAGCGCGCGCTGCCTATTGGCCACGCCCACCGACCTACCCACCCACCTCGCTGGTGGGTGGGTGGCACGAGCGTGCGCTGCCCCTTGGCCACGCCTACCGACCTACCCACCCACCAGCCTGGTGGGCGGGTGGGGCGATAGATATTTTTGACCCTTCTAAAAAGCCCCAACCGGCGCGAGGCTGGCTTCCTGATTAGGCTTTGCAGGTGTGTGGGCTTTGTTTGGGTTTCTTGATCATTCAGCGCAGATTAATCGCCCGACCCAATATTTGTTAGCCAGCGGCCCGGATTTCTGCCTGGAGCCCCGAAATCATACAACCGATTCGGGAAAACATGTTGAAGGCAGGCAAGAAGTGGAACTTTCATTCTTTGGCTGCCTTCAAGAGAAGCCGGGCGGGAGAGCAGCTGCATGCTCAGGGGCCCAATTTATTATCGAGGGGTTTGCAAGCAAGGGGCTCGCGCAGCCAAGGGGTTGCGCAAAAAGCCCCCGCCCGCCCGGCATGACCAAGCGGGGGCTGATCCAAATTTTGCGCGAGTTTGTCTCTATTTCCCAAGTGTGTTTTGCTTGGGTTGAGGAAGCGCAGGTCTTGGCTGGAGAAAAGTGCAGCACTGGAGCCCCGACCTCTTTCTATCTCGCGCAAATCCTCACGAGGCCCCCCGGAGCTCCGATTGCGTCGACGCAGCACAGATTTGTGTCTGCGGCGAGCTGCGCGCAACACTGATTTGCGCTGCGCGCAACACAGATTTGCGTCCACGCAGCACAGATTTGTGTCTCCGGCGAGCTGCGCGCAACACAGATTTGCGCGCAACACGCAGCACAGATTTGTGCGCAGCACAGATTTGTGCTGCGCGCAGCGGAGATTAACTTGGTTCTGCGTTGTACATAACCGACCAACCCACCGGAGGAAGTTACGGACAACTGCCTGCAGCTGCAGGCCCATCCTGCGCCCGAACCCCGAAGCCGTGTTTCCATACATCGGAAATTCGCTCAAATGTCGTCTGTCCAAAACCAACCAACCAACCGACCAACCCACCGGAATTTAGGCCCGCAGGCTCACGCCTACTCTATTTTCACATCTTTTTGTTTCACACATTGAGCATGAGCTTCAGGTGGACCCGGCCAACTCAAAAAGTTGATCTTGATTTAGACTTTGCAAAAAGCACCATCACGATACAGGAAGATGCTTGCCGTCTGTTACAACCGATGATAATTCAGGAGCCACACCTACAAGAAACGTTATACGGTTTTCATAATATACCCTTGATCCCCTCCTTCGAGCCATTCTTTCCTCGCTACCTCCGCCTTTTCTTCCCTTTCCGCCGCGGGGACGCCCGCCAGTTTCGCCCATTTCTTCATGACAATCGCTTCCAAGTCAAACTCAGTGGTGTCGTTTCCGACCTGCAGATCTCCGTCGGCGAATATTTCTAACCGCCATTTGTACGGCTCTGGCTTCTCAGCTGCTCCTTCCTCCTCTTCCGCTGGCTCCTCTCCATTCGCCTCAGAGGCGACTATTTCCGCATTGTTCACCGGCACCTCCGTTCTCTCCACGCACCGGCTGCTGTCTAGTTCGATCTGCAGGATGTAGGTCGCGTTGCCCTGGAGCTCCAGGTGCGGGAAGGATATCCTGAGTAAAAACGTTCCCACCCCAGAGTTGTCGTGCAATTCTGCATGCCAAAAAAGTTTCTCATGCGGAGCCCTATGAGAAGCATTTCGTTTTGCGTGTTTTGGGATTTGTGATGCGAGGATCGGCATGCTATGCTAGATCTGTGATGATTCTGAGCGAGCTAAACAGGACCACACTACGAGGACAAACTTATCATGCCAAACAACCAAAGCTGTGTGATTTGTCTAGCAGATTTCCCGTCTTGACTCTGGTGTGGGGACGTTTTCAATCAGGATAAAAGAAACCGCGTCCTTGCCCTCCATCGTGCACATGGTTTCCAGACTGGACAGCCAATTTTTCCTCCCGCCGAATTCCTCCGGATCTACGTTAACATTCGATTCCAGCGCCGGCAATTCCTCTTCCTCCGTAACTTCCTCCCCCGACTGCCATCTGTCCTTCATCGCCGGCCGAAACTCCTCCTTTGGCGGGTGCTGCAACACCAATTTCGCGATAAAAAAAACGTCGGGAAAGTTGCAGGTTACCCGCATGGACGCGGAGACCACCGCTGGCTCCTCTTCCGAAACCGGCTCGGCTGCCACCGTGATTCGTTCCCGGAGAATCAACGGATCGAAGGTTTTCAGGTCCGACAAAGCCACTTCGTACAACTTTCTGTTGGAAAACCCGATTTTTTTCGCGTCGTAACTCTCGCTGAAGGGTTCCAGCGCGATCGCGGGTGTTGGTTCGGTGAGTTGCTCAAACAAGTGCACGTAGTACACCGGTTCGATAACGGGTTTCGACATGTTTCCCTCCAACAAAAGCAAAAACGTGTCCTCCCCCTCCGGTAAGTCGAACTGAAACAAGGGCAGGAACGGCGTTTCAAACACGATTTCTGACCAAACCGGGAAAACAAGTTGCTCTCCGGAAACTGCTCTTCGCCGCACCAACAGCCGCAGCCGGAGGTGCTGGCGGCACTCCGGGTCGCCGGCGAAGTGCGTGTAGGCGGTCACGGTGCGTTTCGCCGTGTTATGCATCACAAAAGCATCGCACTAGTACAAAACGCATGACAAATTTTTTCTAGAGGAAAAATGAAATTTGTCATGCAGAACAAGCTAAAAAAGCAGATCTGTCATGAACGACCTGCATTTATACGAGTACGATACTTTTGCACAGGATACGTGTCGGGGAGGCGGGATTTAAATTCGCACTTCGCCCACAGGCTGTACCCGGCTGGGTAGGTGACCGGGGGGTCTTCGCAGTCCGGTGCTCTTCCGATCTTCAGAACCGGGATGTGTGCTCGTTGCTCCAGGTAGTCCGCGGGCTCGACGAATGTCGCCCTGGCTTCGTAGTTCATCAGCGTCGTAGTTTCGGCTCCTGATACAGAACTAGGCACGCTGCACTTTTTCAGCAACACCTGGTGTTTCGCTCCCGATTTTGTCGGATCCTCGATCAGCAAGAAGCAGTGCTCATATCAAATGCAAGTCGTTCTGGGTCCGGAAAGTTGTGATGCAAATCTGTGAATGGTGGGCGCACTGCGATATGCCGCCAAGCATGACAATTTTTTGAGCGGTTTTTTATGTGTTTCGTTTACTGCATGGCAAACTGCGTTTTTGCATGACAGGCAAGAGGGCCTTGTCCTGCTCATGCATCACAGATCTAAGAGTCATGCCAGACAAGCATGACAAACGAAACCTGCATTCTTGCAGACCCAGACATATTTGCGAAGCATAGCTCCGACCCGTTTGCGACCACCGGCACGTCGAAACACCCCTGCACCCTTGGCGCGTTCGGACCCGTCACGTGTGTGCAGGTGGCAGACAGCGCCAGCGGGTTGTAGTCGAAGTAGCAGAACGGGTCCGGCGCGTCCGGATCGCTCTCTGCTGCACCAGCACTCCCAGCCGCGGCCTTCTTCGCGTAACAAAGGTGATTTGCGAGCTTCTGGAAACCGGTCGTGAACGGGTTTGATATTTTTCCACCCGAGGACCCTGTGCTCGTAGTGTTCGGGTAGCTGTTGAACTTCCAGTTGTTCGCGCGGAAAAAGTAGCTCCCCGCATGTACTGATGGGTCCATCGGCTCCACCGCGAGCACGACTTGGCAGGTCGGAATGGCCGTGCTACTTGTCGACCCGCCCTGTTGTTCCTGTTGGGAAGTTGTTGTACCAGACCCCGCGGCTGCGTCTTTTTCTTTTTTTCCCGACGATTTCGACGACGCCTTGGTTGGCGCCGCCGTTTCCGCGGGGTCCGCCGGACTAGCTCCTTCGTCGGGTAGTCCTTCTTCCCCCTCCTCAGGCGTGCCGTCGGGCTGCGTGGCAGACCAGAGCAGCAGCGTGGAGTCGGTGATTTTTTCCGAGGATGAGGAAGTATCGGTGGGTCTCCTGTGTAAAGGCATCCCCACCCCAGAGTTATCATGCAGATCTGCAAGCACAAGAGCATTTGTAATGCGCATCCTCACAAGAGGCATTTCCCATTGTATTTTGGAACTTGTAATGCTGTAAACAGGATGAGGAGATGGATTTGTTATGCGGCTTCCCTTACTAAACTGCAATACACTACAGCCTGCAACTTGTCATGCGTGGCTCCCAAAACCTCGAGAAATGTGTTGCAAAATCCCCATCTTGACTCTGGGGTGGGGACGTTTTTACAAATGATAGTGGGCGAAGTTGTTGCACTCGCTGTTTGTCCTGGTCCACCTTTGCTCGGCCGGACGCGGACGGTGAGGAGCATGGGCTTTGTGGGCAGCATATCGCGAGGAAAAATAATCCCACCTCCCCTTACTGAAAAGATATCTTTTGTGATGCTGATTTGTACTCACAAATCGTTTCTGTCTTGCAAGAAGGCAATCCGAGAAGGCCCCCCGCATTGTGCCAGCGGTTTGTGATGCTGTTAGGCCTACAGCATGGACTTTTGTCATGCTGGGCGCCTATGTCACAAAACCTCTCCAGTCAGGCTCGATATGGGCCTGCAGTCCTCTTCTACTGCAAGACGAGGCTGATTTATGTACGCAAATCCAGCATCAGAAATTTCGTTCTGATATGGGAAGGGGGGTCTTTTCCTTTTGATACAGCATGACTTTCGAACTCTCCGCGTCTTCCACCGGGACCGAGTCGTGCTTATGCATTGCAAGAGACTCGTACTAGTAAAATAACTTAAACTAGTAGAAATCGCTAGCGCATGACAAATTTCAATTTCTTCTGCATGATAAATCGAATTTGTAATGCGGATTTCCCTTAATGCGAACATTTGTAATGCATGACTGCAATCTTTAGTACAAGTACGATCACTCTTGCAATCCATAGTGCTCCACACAGGTGAATTTGTCCGCGGACTCGTAAAAGGAGAAGTGGGTGGCCAGGTCCACCACGTCCGTCCAGTTGATCCAGTATCAACTGCAAATGTGTGAGACTTGTAATGCTGTCTGCGGAGTCTAAAAATATCTGTGCTGTATGAGCAGCAAGAGGAGTCAGCTCTTGGCACGTCGCGGAGAGGGCATTTGTCATGCGTAATTAGCATCAAGACGTTCTGAAAGAATCTGTGACGCTAGCACCAGAATCACAAACCTGACGGGTCATGCAAAATGTGCATGACAAGCCCAAACTCTACTTCAAGGAGACCCAGACATATTTGCACTTCATATCCAGTAGCCGCCGTCGATATTCCGTATCCTATTTAAAAACGTCCTCACCCCATAGTTGTAATGCAAATCTGCATGCTGAAAATGTTTCTCATGCGGAGCCCCATGAGAAGCATTTTATAATCGTGCTTTGCAATTTGTCATGCTCCAATCAGCATGGTATGCTAGATCTGTGATGCTGCTGAGCTAGCTCAAACAGCACTACACTACGAATCCAAATTTGTCATGCAAAAGAGCCAAAGCTTGTGGATTTGTCTAGCCGATTCCCCATCTTGACTATGGTGTGGGGACGTTTTCACTCAGGATATTCCGCGTCAAACTGTCACCCTCTTCCAACTTGCGCCGAAGTTCGATGCGTGCCTCCTCGCGGGCCTTGCGCGCTCTGTAGTTGGAAGACGCGTAGATTCTTTCACAGAGATCATGTCATGCTAAATCGAAGTCGACGAGTTGTACTCCATGCAAGACAAAGACGAATACGAAATAGAAATTGAGTATTGCTTAATAACGTTATTTAAGTACAAAACCCACCACCACCAAAACTATTATAATACGCTTCCCTCTTCTTTTCTCTTTCCGCGATTTCCTCCGCCGTTACGGTTAAGCCACCCGGGTCGGACGCTGACAGCCTCGCGGAATCTTTCCCATCGTCATCGTCCGCGTCCTCCTCACTGTCGCTCGATTCTGGCATCTCCATTTTCATATGCATTGCAAATATCATCTCCGGGCCTGGAAGAATGTTGCAAGTTTGTCATGCTCCTTGATGGCCAACCAGACAGAAAAGTCTGTCATGCTTGTTGCGCTACAGCGCCACTTGTTTGTGGTCATCCAAGAAGGCGATTTCTTTGTCATGCGCCGGCGCACGCTAGACATTAAAGCCGCTCAGAAACTTCTCATGCGCGCCCCCCTGCTAACACAGGTTGCGTATAAGTATTCGGACATTAGCATCACAACTTTCCAGACCAAGACACATTTGCATTTGATATTTCACGTGCCTTAACATTTTGCTCTCCATGGCCCAGTCCGGCTTCTATCCCCTGCAAAAGTGCTCGTATAAATTGCACATCACGTCGCCTGGGCCTGACAAACATCGTTGCCAAACCCAAAAAGCAATACACGTCACACTCTCTTCTTCTTGAAAATAATTGTTGAGCGATGCCTGCTAGTTATACGGTTGTACTTTTGCAATGCATAGCTTCAGCCCACCCGCGATTTTCACGCGCACTTGCCTGTGCAGCAATGTCCCCTTCTCGTCCTTGTTCTCGTTGATTTCGCAAATCGTGCCGAACAAATGCGGAATAATCTTCTCCTTCGGCTCTTCACAATTATCTGTTTGCGCGGCATTATTTGCTCCTGTGCCCACGAAGCTGCTCCTTGGCTGCATGGGCTCACTATTTTCCGGCTTCAGCATGAAGTGCAGCATTTCGCTCTTGTCCTCGATCTTCGTGGAAAGCCGGGCCCTATGCACTGCAAATATGTCTGGGTCTGGAAGACTATGAGAGTTGTGAAGCACGTTTTGCATGAGCCATGATGTCTGTGATGCACGCCCTAGCATCACAGATTTTTTGAAGGCATCTTGATGCCTATTCCGCATGACAAATGCGAATGCCCTATCCTTGTAGAAGCAGAAATTATACTCCTTTTGCTGCTCATGCAATACAGATTTTTTTGGAATCCAAATGCAGCATCACAAGTTGCATTCTTCCAGACCCAGACACTTTTGCAATCCATAGGCCCAGGTAAGGGGCTCCACGACCGGAATGTACCCGGTTAAAAGGTGGAGCAAGGGTACGAAGTCGAAGTCTCGGGAAACCTGTGGTGAAAGGAAGCTCGTGCCGTGCGAGAGTACGCTCCTTGCAGAGCAAGGTCCTTTGTTTACCGAATGCTCCCTCCTGCACTTGGCATTCAATGCTCCTTTTGCAAGAATTCAGCGAACAACTATCAACACTGTTAATCACAAGCAACTGCTGACGAGCTTTCTTCTTGTAGTTGCACATCAGAAGCTAATCCTCAACCTCATTCGTGAACAGCTGAATTCGTACTTACCTTCAAGATCGCCTTCCCCAGAATCTGGCACCAAAGACTGGCGTTTTTGTCCAAGTCCTTAGTGGGGTCCACCTTCGCCGGCCGGCGCTTTTTGCTCATGTTCTGCTGGATGCGCGCCAGGATGGAGTTCGTGCACGCGTTTGGCAGCAGCGAAGTGAAGGTCTGTCCGTCGTCGAGGCTCTCGCAGGGCACGGTGTCGTCCACCACGACGGCCCGCCATTTACCCATGATGAAGAGCTTCACCACGTATTTCCCGCTGGGGTTGATGATGGGGAGCTTCAATTTCCCAGGGGGCGGCGGGGGAGGAACCTCGAGAGACGGAAATTTAGAATTGATTTGGATAGTAAGTTGAAGATGAACTCAGTTGTGCTTGTGGACTTCAACACCATAATTCGATGTATTAACTACCGCATCATCTTCCTCTTCGTTTGTGCAGCTGCTGCATGCAAATAGCGAACAACCCGAAATCAGATGCGTACTGGTACTAGGTCGTGAGGACCACATCAATCAGCACCAAAACAAAAGATTAAAGATTCAATCATACCTCCGCCGCTTCCTCCTCCCCAGCGGGTGGCGCTGGTGGGTCTAACGTCTTGAAACTGACCTCGGCCTGGGGGTAGATCAGTTCCCAGAGGTAGGATCCGTTCGGCAGCTTATCCGCGCAGTTCTCCTCTATTACCCCGAAAGCGGACGCCATAGCCTGGGCGCAACCCACGTCTTGCGTGGGCTGCACGTACATGCAGGCGGGCATGCGCAGGTATTTTGGCTGCGGCTCCGCTTCGTCGCCTGGATATTTTTTGACGGAGCGATTGTTTATTTTGCGTCGCGAGATTTTGGTTTCGGAGCGAATAATTGCATCAGAAAAAAATTGAAATTCAGCACGTCGCAACGGACGACTTCTCCGTACAACTGCATTTTCTACAACTCTTTCTCCAGCGAACAGAGCACGAAACCGCAATAAACGGAGTACAATGAATACCGTCTGCCGGCGGCTTTGGCACAGGGACGCCCAGCTCCTTGTACATATCGGACTGTTTGCAGTTCTCCAGAAACGCAACCATGCAGGACTTCGAGTAAGACTCGCCTCGCGGGGCCAGCCACTCGTCATACTGATCTTGCGTGCTTTTCCCCTCGCTGGCCTGCATTTTTATTTCATCCAAATAAGGAGCACATGAATCTTATTGAACGCAATGAGTAGTAGTGAGGACCACTTCCTGTTCCTGCGTCCTTTTCTTTGCTATTGCTGGTGCGCGTTCTTGAACATGACTATGTATGAGGATGAAAGAATATGAAAATGAACTAGAACCTTGCATGACAATAAAAATGAAAATCACGAAGATGTATGAATAACTAGATCGCACCAGCGGGGCCGGGGCTGCATCTCCGCCCGCACCTTCCTCCTCGCCTCCAGCACCTCCAGGTATGGCATTCTCAAATGTTACATTCTCAACGTCAACTCTTACAACATGAATTTGTAATGCAAGACTGGCAAAATTGGAAGGAAGAAGATTGCGCCTTTTGCATTACAAGTTTGGCGCAGATTTAGATGCTGTCTAGCCCTCCCGAAATTTGTCATGCGAAGCAGCTCGATCATCTGGATCTGCCGGCTTAACAAGGTTCTTTTGCATGACAAATTCATGTAACAGTTGAGAATGTAACGTTTGAGAACGCCATACCAGGTGGCTCCAAGGTATGTCCCGCAGTCTTCACGTGCGTGACCCGGCGCCAGGCCGTGGTTCGCTCGGCTTATGCATTGCAAAAGGTAATCGTATAAATGCATTACAAATTTCCTCAGCATGAGAGATAAAATTTGTAATGCTGATTTACCTTAAGAGAAAGATTTGTAATGCATGATTGCAAGACGAGTACGATACTTTTGCACAGGATACGGCTACCCCCTTGTCGATTTTCTCCGCGCCACCATTTGACAGTGCACAACCCCCCCTCCCCCTCATTTGTCATGCAAAATGCCTAATTTGCGCCTTGGCTCTTGGCACTGTTTGCATGACAAGTTCGGGCAGCCCAAATAGCACTACACTCCAGCGCAAATTTGTCATGCAAAACCGGCACTCTTGCTGATGCTTGTATTGCCGTTCATGCCATACAAAAGAGGAGGAGGGGGACTTGTGCACTCTCATACTCCATTTGACCACACCGGAAAGTCGGCATCGAAGAAAGAACCCGGGCTCTGCTTCACGTTGATTTTGTCCACCACATTCACGTCGGGGTAGTACGACTCGACAAAATTGAAGCCCCAGTTGACTTGATCGATCGCTTCCGCATCAAATTCCGGGTACAGCCGCGGCGCCAGGCTCCTGGTCGCCGGCTCGAAGGCGGCAACTTCCTCGGGGGCGGGGACCTCGTCCGGCGCGCGGGCCTCAAAGGTGGAATTCGCCTCCAGCTCGGCGGCGCCGCCACCTTTCGGCGGCATGGTTTAATACGTGTACAACGCGTAAAAGTTTTGAAACTTTGACAATACTCAAGTAGCCTGCAATTCGATATTTTTGACGACCTCGACAGTTGAAAAGATCTTCGCTCATACATATCGTTTACCTTCGGCAGAGCCAGCCGGAATGTACTTACTTTACCAATCGCACTTCTTCGAAGGCAGCTTGCATGCCACACGCAAGTGAAAGCAAGAATTGTTCTGCGTGAATTCTCGAAAGCAAGCCTTACTGCTCACTTCCTTGGTGTGCGTATGACTACCAAATATAGCCGCCGGGGCGGAGGTAGTGAGGTCGTGGGCGTTTTCTTGCCGGCCGTCGCCTTGGCCGCGGCTTTGCTTTTTCTGGGCTCGCCATACCGCCGCGAGTAACGTTAGGCCGGGCGGTATGGCGGCCGCGTGATAAACGTCGCAAATTTTGGCAAATTCCCGATATTCCTTTCCGAAAGCCAGCCCCCATGCTATGGGGCCGATCCGGGTGCCATGGGGGGCGCCCAAAAAGCGAAGAAAAATCGGGCCCATAGCATGCGGATTGGCTTTGCAGGTCTGGCGCGCTTTTGCTTTTTTGCGTTTTTATTTTTCTAGCCGGCGCTTTTTGCAAAGCTCCCCAGGCTCTGAAACCGGCGAAAATACGGCCGCTTTCGCGGCCGCCCAAAATGCTCCAAAATCGCGGCCGTTCCATGCTGTTTCGCTGATCTGATTTTGGATGCGTTTTTTTCGGGCGTCCTTTTGGGCACCCCAAACCGCCAGAAACCAAGGCGGTGGGCGCCTCAGAAGGGCGCCCCTTTTGCCGGCTCCCCTGCGTCGTTTTACCCAGCGTGGATCGATAGAATCCGCTGGCGATTCGGTGCCAGCAAAGCCAAACAGGCTTGCACGCTGGGATCTTTTTCATGCAAAAAAACTCTCTACAGGCTTCAAAACTGCCGGTCGTTTTTCAGGGTATATGGCAAGAAAACTCCCTGGTTAGAACCGTTCGGTGACCTCACTACATATGACTCTCAGTCTCAAGTGACCGCATTATTATACGATCCTTGTCCGCTCAGGTGGTGTACACGACAACTCTCATCAATTTTCCACAAGTACTGTGAGTCGTGCGCGCATGTCGACCACAGAACCTCGATGGACCTCGAGCACTCACCCCCCTTCTTTGCAACAAGCGCTCGACGGATTGCTCTCTTCAGTCCGTGGCCGGGACTATCTAAGTAAGTACATTTTTGTGCAAGGAAAATTCGCGGGCCGAAGAAAGCTAACACAGACATCTCCACGTCATAAGTACTCAGCAGAACAGAATGTCTAGCCGAGCAAAAACAAAGAAAGCTCCAGGGCCAGGAAAAACGAACAAAGACAAAATTGAAAATTATCGAAGGAGCAGAACTTCTGTTGTCCTGCCAACTGCAACTATTTGTTCTTTCTCATATCTCGTGGTATTCATAGATGATGCTCTTGTGTCCTGAGCTGCACATTCGACATTCAATTTTTCTATGCATGCCTGAGCAAGAGCACCATCATGATCATGACAGCAGGGGCTAGAATCTTAATCGTAGATGTAGATGGTTGTTGTTGCAACATCACTGTCGCAGTGTGCTGGTCTCCTTTTGCTATCTCGACCGAGTCCGAGCTGAGTAACAGTTATGACGCAGGCGTTGATCAGGTCGTCGGGCAGGTACTATACTAGAAACAACTTTTTCTACAACATCAGCGACCCGCACCCCCAAGAGCGGCGCTATCGGAAAGTGGCGCGTTGCTCTTGGTCGTGGATTTTATCTGGTAGAGTGTCGGGCTTTGGAATCTTGTCGGAGCCATGCGTTTCTGAAAAATGGTGGAAAAGGAGTCTTTCTGGAAGCACGCCTGCAGGCAATGGTCTTCGGGGCCCTCCAAATCGCGACAAAACACTTTGTGGTGATTAAAAATGTCCCCGTATGCACTGCAATCGGAGTGTTTCTTCCGCTTGTGCATCGCCTGGTGCACGCCCTTGTCAAAGGAGGTCATCAGGTCCTTGCGCACGTCGACCTTTTCCGGCGACCAAGGGTTCTCCCGCCAATCATCTACAAGCAGCTCCAGCAGTGCCGGCTGTCTATCATCGTAAAAGTTTTCGTCTTTGTTCACGCCTGTGCGAGTTGTAGAACCTGTTGTATCTTCCTCGTCCCCCAGGGGCCCAGTGTCTTCGAACGAATCTTCGGGCGTGGAGGTTCTTGCTCTCAGCAATAAGGGGCGCTTCCCGGCGAGAGGCATGGTTTTCAATCCTCGCAACATCCGGCTTTCGTCGCAGATGTCGGGAGCCGACCGTTTCTTGATTTCTGCGCCGACTTTTTTAAATTCCGCCCAATACGCGGGTGAGAATGCGACGTGATACCCCTCTCCCGTGCATGCGTCGTTGTGGCCCGGGCGACCGCACACTGCGTTGACGACTTCCGGCTGCGCCCGTCGAACGTGTTGGAAAAGCGGACCCGCGTCGGCATATGCGCACCGCGGCACCAGCGTGCGCCGCAAGCACGGCTCCCGCAGTACCACGCTCGTCACGAGGCCCGGGCCGGTCAGAAACAGGTCCTCGTGCCCCCGGGAGGTCACGTCGTCTCCGAAATCGTAGCGGTGCTCCATGACATTCTGGATTTGTGCGCGCAATATGTAGAGTAGAGCGGGATTGCGGGGGTAGCTCGCAATCAGGTTGTTCGTGAGGCCACAGCTACCCGGGGCCAGGATATCGGTGTCGAGGCAGAACATCACCTCCCCTGGACTCATACTTCCATCGGGCGCGAGTTTCTGAAAAACCGAGGAGGTGCGCTCATATTTCAAGTGTGAGGTGAACCATCTTGCTTCACGCTCTCTTTTACTCCGTCGCAGCATCGCTATTGGTGAGAAAAGTTTCACTTTTTCCCACGGCGCTTTTTTCGCTGTGTGTTCGGCATTTTTATTTTTCGAAGCATCAACATCTTCACGGCCCGCCCGTGCACCCCCACGCGACCTCCTGCTCCGCGGCACACGCTCTCCGTCCTCATCTTCTTCATCGTCCACAAACTTTTTTCGCTTGCGTCCCTTCGTCCTATGGCGGGGAGACAGAGCAGACTGTCGTTCTTTTTCAGCCTTCTCGGCTTTCGCACGCAGCACCGCTAACTGCTCGGCCTCGCCGGGCTCTGTTCCCGCCTGCCCTACACCTCCGTCAAGCTGTTCTTCTTCTTGTAGCGTCCTGTCAGCAGGTTCATCTTGCTCAGAAGCCAGACCTAGTTTTCTCGTCGGTGCTGATCCTGATGGAGTTCGAGAAGCATTGTTGCTCCCCTCTCCTCTGCTGGTCCTGGTGCTGGACTGACCCTGAGACGAAATTATACTGCCGGAAGCACTGCGGGAGTCATCATGCGGGTGTGATTCTGAGTGATTACGATTTGTCCCCTCGTAGGGATCCCTGATGCTTGATGTTGCCCACAAAGTTCTTGTTGTCTCCTTCGACTGCGCGTCAACTACGCCAGGGGACGACGAGCCGAACTTGTCATCGTGAAGCCCCGCCGTATGATTCCAGTGATCACCGAAAGACTTTTGCTGTGCCAGGTTTCGCCGCTGTGTCGGCGCGCCCGGGCCGCGAGCCTCGTCTGGACCGGATCCGGATGAAGCACTTTTCGCCTGTCTCATATCCGCGGTGTAGTGCCTGCTTTCGGGCCAGGTTGCCTTGGCGTCTAGGTAAAGGCCGCCGCAAGCGTAGATAATAGCGATCCGCCAAATATCCGCACGAAACGACCACGCGTTTACCTCGCGGTAGGCGCGCAGCAGCGTCCACGGCCTGCTTTGCTGCGCGGCATGCTCAGCGTCGCTGGTGGGGTTGTTGTTTGATTGCTGTGGATCTTTCTTCAAACCAGTGTACTGCTGCTGCCCCTGAGCTTCTGGCGGATGGAAGATCTTCTGCTCCTCCAAAAAGGCTGATATCAGCCGGATGCTTTCGTCCGTTGCCAGGTTATCAAAAAAAGCAAGAAATTTCGCGTCCGGAAACAATGCCTTCCGCACTGGGCCGTCCATCAAGTCGGGGAAAAAGCGACCCGTCAGAAACACGTTTTGCGACGGCAATCGCCGCACTTCAGTATCTGCTTTCAGCGTCTCGTAGTTCGGGCACAGTTTGCGCCACAGTTTCTCGTATCTTGGGCCATCCCGGGGAGGAATGTAGTTTGCTTGCTGCCGGCCGCGCATCTTCATTGTGTCGCCATGATCTTGCGTCGTGCTGTTTCTTGCACTTGATGATAAAGAGAAGCCGAGACGAGCTGTGCTTCCGTCACCTGATGCTGCTTGTTCATTTTTCGCTTCTGCACCCGCGGCCGCAGTGCCTGAGGATCCCCTCCTGAAAGCTAGATCTTCTGAGCTCGGTATGGTACTACTACCTATACGACGCTGCAGGACCGCAGGAATCCGTTCTACCATGCGGTGCCGTGAGTCAGAGACGGAAAGCCAGACCGAAGCGCAAAAACACACCCCGACAAAAACGGCGTAACGACAGAACTGCATACACGGAGTAGAGTGTCTGGACGAGATAAAAGCGTAGGGGCAACAAGTACGGGCGCTCTCGATCTCCTCGTGCCTGAGTCTTACTATTTGCTCCATCACATTTAGCACCGAAGTCCCAGTGGTCCGCTCATGGTCAATGCCAACTTCGACATCGTCCTCGTCTGATATCCGAACCAACATCGTGATCGCGACAAGTTGTCAATCTGCTTCTAATTCTATGCTAGAAGAGTATACTACATTTGCTTGTTCCACGAGGAAGTTTTTTTTGCTCTACTCTTCTTGGCCGAACCTCCCTGTAGGTGCGTGAAGATGCTGCTGGGTCACGACATCCAAGTAAAGCATAAAAAAATCGACTTTACTACTTTTCGCACTATCCCAAAAGTACGTTTTGGTCATGTCGGGGACGACGATTGGGCATAGGTATCTCGGGTGTCAAAGCCGGCCTGCCCGTTTTTGATTACAGTGCCGAAAGGTTATTTGCACATTTGCTTGCGAAAGTAACAACTTAGGAAAAGAAGACCACAGCTCGAGTTATTTGAAGCACAGAGGACTGCTCCGGCTGCTGCAAATCTCCCAGCTAGTATGTACACGCTGAACGAGGGCACGACAAGACATATAGCACTTGTGTACGAACGCGATTGCAACGATTATCCTGTTCATGAAATCATAGGCAAAGGCACTGTGTTTTTCTTGATTCAACAGGTGTACGACGTCACGCGCATCACGAAAGCGAATAAAAGCACGAGGACGATCATGCCTAAACGACAACGTTCTTACGTAGCAGAAACGAGAATAGTAGAACAGTGCAGGTCGTATAGCACATTGATAAAGAATGAGGCCAGTCCTCGTCAAGACGTTGCCTTCACGTGTAATGTGTGCTTGGGCGTGGCGGATCGGGATATGAAAACCGACACAATGTTTTCTTGTCTCCGAGCACATGCTAATATCGCAGGACAAAATAAATCTCCATCATAATTAGGGCGATAAGAGATAAAAGCACGAAAACATCGCGAGCAAGCGTGAACATGGAAATAAATCGCTGACACTAGTTTCCCTCATGTTTCATCAGCGGACGCTTTGCGACCACCCTTTTCGCGCCCGCAATGCTGGCTCGGTGCAAGCCTTGCAGATGTTCTCGTGCTAGTTTCGGGTCGTGGTGCGCCCGCGGTATCGTGGGATGGTAGGGAAGCTGGGACTGTTTTTTTTCTCTGTTTCGTAGACGGACCCTGCCCACCTCGAAGCCCCCCCGTCGCTCCCCCGCAACATACTTACAATCAACATCAATGCCCGAACGACAGAAAGGGGCGAGCGGAGAAGAAACTTGAGCGATGTGTTCCAGAATCGCTTCGCACTCTTGGTCGCCGAGCGGCGCCTCGCGCGTCGTGTTCCACCATTCGCCACTCACGATCACACCTGCAGGAGGCATGCAATAGTTAGATACCAAACGACTTGTTGGATTGGGTGTTTTAATATCGTCCTGCGCGTTAATATTGGACGAAGGTGAAGAAGAGGAAAACACTGACGAAGCAGCCTCGCGCCCCGCGCCAGGATGGGGAGGAGACCTGTTGTACTTGTCCTTTCGTGCCAACTTGGTCGTCGTGGCCCAGAGCACCTCGCCAGGCGTTTGCAACGTGTGTCCATCGGCTTTCAGCATTTGCCAGGCTGATTTGTCCGCCAGCCGGGCGGCGGACGCGAACTTCGGCGGCAAAAGCTTAGGCAAGACCTCGTCCCGGATGCAGTTGGTTTTGTTATCTAACCAGAAGCGAACGCTCAAGTCTTTTGTGTTCGCGTCGAGACAGGCCTTGCCCACCTTTTCGTCATACTCAATCACGCACACGTCTGCGTACAACCGGAAGCCGTGTGAGTCGTGCCTCCTGAATTTTTCACCGATCCAGCCGTGCGGCCAGGGCAAGATGTCCCCGCGCTTCAGCTCCGAAGCTCGGATGGCGGCCACGTTTTCGGACGGCCAGTAAGCATAGGGCAGATCCGGAACGCCAGCGGCGCTATCAAGGTCTACGAGAATACACGACCGACCCCCGCGCCAGGTCCAGTGCCCCAGCGCTGGGTCGCCTGGCCCGGGTTTTGCAAGGTCGTGCCCAAAGTAGTCCTCCACGAGAGCTTTGAAAAACCTTCTCGTGGCGCGCCCCTGCGGTTCTGCCCTTTCTTTCTTCACCCAGACAAGATAGTCCGTGTCAAAATTCACAAAGTTGTACCGGCTTCCGGTGTAACCAGCCAGGCTCCCATACCTGGCAGCGGCGAGTATAACAGTGCACAACTCCCCCCCCCTCATTTGTAAGTATAGCATAAACGGCAACAAGACAAGCATCAGGTTCAAGATCAGCAAGAATTCCGGTTCTGCACGACAAATTTACACCAACACTGGAATGTAGTTCTATTTGGGCTACCAGAACTTGTCATGCAAAGGAGGGGGAGGGGGAGTTCTTGTGCACTCTCATAGCGAGATGCGTCCCACCATAAGGGAAAAAGGAATTATCCTGGTAAGTAGGCGTGAGTGGAGCAGGCTCCACATTTTTCGTTGTAATCGTGCGGAGAAGAGTAGCATCGTTGCCCTCTTGGATGTTCTCTTCGTCCTCGAGAATCAGTTTCAGGGCGGAGATGAAATACGAATGCTGCGCCTGCACAACGTAGGGAAGCACCGGCATCTCCAAAGTCAAGCGCCGCTTCTCCGCTACGGGGTCGTCCGCCCGGGCGTCAGGGCTGATGACAAACTCGAACTGTTCGAGAGT